AAGCTCCGAGCTGCAAAGCTGTATTGCAAGCTGGAGAAGTGCGAGTTCTCCAAAACCTCGGTCTCGTTCCTTGGTTTCATGGTCTCGCCCGAGGGCATCGGTATGGAGCGATCCAAGCTCTCTGCGATCTTGGATTGGCCCATACCGCGCAACATCTCGGATCTTCGATCCTTTGTCGGGTTTGCGAACTTCTATCGACGCTTCATCGATGGATACGCAAAGATCGCGGGGCCCATGACTCGGCTCTTCCGGAAGACGCATGGCTTCCAGTGGTCCCGCGAAGCCGATAAAGCATTCAGATCCTTGAAGGATGCCTTCGTTTCGGAGCCCGTTCTGGTGCATCCGGACCCATCCAAGCCGTTCGTCGTAGAGTCAGATGCGTCGGACTTTGCGCTTGGATGCGTGCTCTCCCAGCGGGGTGCTGATGATCGCCTTCATCCTTGCTCGTTCCATTCGCGGACACTCTCGAATGCTGAACGTAACTACAGCATATACGAGAAAGAGCTGTTGGCGATCAAGGAGGCTTTCGAGGCGTGGCGACACTACCTCGAAGGCGCCCAGCATCCCGTTGCCGTTCTGACCGATCACAAGAACTTGGAGTACCTGGCAACGGCTCGCATCCTAAACCAGCGTCATGCACGGTGGTCCCAGTTCTTGTCTCGGTTCGACATCCGCATCCAGTACCGTCCTGGTGCGAGGAACGGCAAGGCCGATGCCCTGTCTCGTCGCTCGGACTACATCCCTTCGTCGGCCTCCGTGTCGAGGGATCCGCCTCTGCTTCTCGATCCTGCCGCGGTGATACGCGTGCTCCGAAGCAGAGACGCCCGCTCTTCGGTTGCAAGTCGCAGTGACCCTGTGGATTTGCTGCAGCTCATAGCCGAAGAGCAGGCTCGGGATCCCGGTCTAGACAAATACCGTCGTGACCCGAAGTTCGTCTGGAATGGCCAGTACCTCACCTTCCAGAACAGGATTGTGGTCCCAGAGTCGTGCCGAGTTCCGGCGCTCAAGTCGTGCCATGACCCAGTCGCTGTGGGTCATCCAGGCATCCGACGGACTCTGGCTCTGGTATCGCGACAGTTTTGGTGGCAAACCTATCGGAAAGATGTCAAAGAGTACGTCTCGACGTGCGACACCTGTGCACGCTCGAAAGCTCCGCGACACAAGCCGTTTGGGTTCCTGTTGCCACTCCAGACAGCCGATCGACCCTGGGGGACACTGACCATGGACTTTATCACTGATCTGCCAAAGTCCAAGGGTCACACCTGCATCTTTGTGGTGGTATGCAGCCTCACAAAGATGGCACACTTTATGTCCTGGCGTTCACTGCCGTCGGCGGAGGAGACTGCGTCACTGTTCCTCGACAATGTCTTTCGTCTCCATGGCCTCCCCGACACAGTGGTTTCAGACCGAGGAAGTCAGTTCACCTCTCGGTTCTGGAAGGCACTCTGCACGCAGCTCGGGATCCAAACCAGTCTGTCCACGGCCTTCCATCCCCAGACCGATGGACAGACTGAGAGGGTCAACCAGGTCATCAACCAATACCTGCGCTGTTACACGTCGTATCAGCAAGATGACTGGGCCGAGCTGCTGCCGTTGGCCGAGTTCTCTTACAATAACCTCGAGAACTCGTCAACACATGCCTCGCCATTCTTGGCAACCTATGGGTTCCACCCAAGGTTCGAAGTCCCCGTTGTCGCTGGCGGCCCTGATGTTCCCTCTGCCACGGAGAGGGTTGAACATCTCCAGCGGAACCTGGCACTGTTGAAGGAGAATCTTGAGAAGGCAAAGTCTGACTACAAGCACTTCTCAGATCTCCGGAGGTCCCAGGCTCCCGACTTGCGTCCGGGCGATCAAGTCTGGGTGCTGACTCGTAACATCAGCACCACTCGCCCAAGCAAGAAGCTGGATTACCAGAGGATTGGACCATTCACCATCCTCGAGGCCGTCGGGACATTGGCTTTCCGCCTGGACTTGCCAAAGGACATAAAGGTGCACCCGGTGTTCCATGTGTCTCTTCTTGAGCCCTACAAGAAGAACTCGCTTCCGGGTCGGGTGCAAGCGCCGCCCCCTGCGGTGGTCATCGATGGGAACTTGGAGTGGGAGGTCGAAGAGATCTTAGACTCCAAGTTCGTGCGCGGAAAGCTGCACTATCTCATCGATTGGAAAGGCTACCCGGTCACCGATCGAAGTTGGGAGCCCGCCGACATTGTCTTTGCCCCAACGGTGGCCGCGGAGTACCACCGACGCTACCCAGACAAGCCTGGCCCCAGGAGAACTCAAGATGGAACACGCCGTAGTTTAAGGAGGAGATAGTGTGATGACCAGCATCACAACGGACCAATGAGATTGTCCCGCATGCTCTCGCCCTCCGCACCAATCATGAGTCCCCACGTGTTTGTTTGCCCCCATGCATGAGCACGCGCCGTTGCCACCCGCGTCTACTGGTTTCCTGCCTCCCCCACCGCTCGGCACATGTCCCCGGGCTGTGCCAAGCCTCTCTCGCTTGCACACCAGCCACTCTCGCACCCCCTTCTCGCTTCTCTGTGATGCTCCACCCTTCTCGCCCACTTTTGCCCCTCGACCTTCTCCCGGTCTATAAATAGCCCTGCATGTCTGAGCCTATGTTGAACACCAGTTCGAACAAAACTTGTTCTTTGGTGTTCGGGGCTAAAAGCTAATAAAGCTCATACCAAGCACTTGGTCTTCGTCCTTGCGCTTGTTCACTCCTTACACAGGACCACTTGGTGTGTGCACTGCTGCACACGATCGTCTGCAAGCGCCACACTCATCGGCGACTTCTTCTTGGTTGCATGTATGTTGAGCTCCTGGAGCAAGCGTCTGCTGACAAAGTTGCAGCTTGCTCCAGAGTCCACCATCATTCGGACGGTGTGACCTTGGACGGTGGCAGGGAGGTACAGCAGGGACTCTTCATGGTCCTCCTGCACAGCCTCCTGCACCATGACTTGACTTGGGGGAACGGGCGACACTTGGTCTTGGTTGGCTTCATCACGGCCACTCGGACATTTTGGATAGGGTTCGGCCATTGCGGGGGCCTGCGGCGTCAGCACGCCATTGCACACGACGTCCACGGCTTGCGGACACATGTCGGAAGCATCCGACACACACGACTTGACAGGGGTGAGGGCACAGGCGGTCCTGTCCCTCAAGGGTTCTTGATTTTCTTTTTTGTTTTGGTTTTCAATTTTGGTTTTCTCTTCACGTTCGTGGAGAGGCAGGCGGCTTGCGCCACCATGCACCTCTCGCACGACGCACAACACTTGGTTTGTTTCTCCTTCGGGGGAGGGGGCGAGGTGAACTTCCTCTGGAGACGCGTGGACTGCATTGAGCAATCCACGGCGTTGGTCTCCTACTAGGGCTCCAGAGCCACCTAGTAGGGTCGGCCGTTTCCCGACTTCATGGGGCACTCCTTGGCCTGGTGTCCCGGTCGGTGACAGAAGAAGCAGGAACCATGGCGGAGGTCCTCCTGCTTCTGTCTGTCCTTGGGGGAGACAGTGGCAGCTTGCTGGAACCGGGAGCGGGGAGGGCCACGAGCCTCCATGGCGTTGACGTCAACGTCCATGGGCTCAGGCATGGGTCTTGCGGGCGGGGCCGGGCGAGGCGGACGGGCTGGGACGTGATGAGACCGATGGCCGCCTGCCAGCTGCGGGTAGAACTGGCGGCCATGGTACTGGACGTTGTCGAGGTTCTCGGCAACGTCCATCATCACGTCCAGGGACTTGCGGGCATCAGGGTTGCTGGCGATGTACTCTCTGATCTTGGGCTTGAGGCCCTTCTGGAAGAGGTACATCGCATCAGCAGAGCCCAGCTCCTCAATCTGGGAGGAGAGGTCTTCAAACTCCTCGATGTAGCGGGTCACAGAACCACGCTGCACGAGAGAGTATAGCTTGTCACGGGCAATGAGTTCAGCATTGGGGCTGCCGAAGCGGCGACGGAGGCGGTCCTTGAAGTCGTCAAACACACCTTCGCTCTGCTCGTCGAACCCTTGGCGGCGGTACCAACGGTACGCCTGGTCCTTTAAGCAGAGCTTGGCGGCGACGATGTGGTGGGTGGGGGCGACTTGGGCAGCATCGAGGTAGTCCTCGAGTTGCTGCAGCCAGTCCTCCACCGAGGAGGAGCGGCTCTTCCCAGTAAACACTGGGGCACGGAAGGTCTTGAGGAAGGCTTCCGGAAGTGGGCGGGGGTTGCTCATGGCAGGGGCAGGCTCCAGGGACAGAGAGGAGAGTCGGTCGGCAAGAGAGGCGGGATCCAGCTTGAGGATCTAGAAAGAGGACAAACAGGACGAAAACAAGACGAGGATTTCCGATGCTACCATGTAACGTCCACTACTGGGACGTTGGGGCAAGACGGGGAGGGAGGGGGTACAAGACAAGACAGGACGGGGCAGAACAGGGCGGTGCTAGGCTACTCTAGCGGACGGGTGAGCTCGGGGAGCACTTACGTTTATTCACGATAAAACCGAACTCCAGACAAACGGGGGGAACGGGGGCAACCCGCAGGTATACCCTGCGGTGGCCTGCCTGCGGTGCGTGAAAACGCAAAGCGCAGCACAGGTCACGACCCACTGCGCCGCGCAGTACGCGCAGTACGCGCAGCACAGCGTCGGAGATACCATCTCCTACAGGTAAGCTGGCATCAGGCCAAGGTAAGTGCACCCTGTACAGACTTGTCCAGACTTGTCCAGACCAAGAGCAGCGGAGAACATTGCGTGATTCTAAGCCACGTTTCCTGCGATCTAGGCGCCTTCGTGGGCCAGAAGAAAGACGTGAGTATGCCGAGTCGCGGCACGGCGCTCGAGCAGGAGTTTTCGCGCCTGTTCTCGACCTTTGGTCGATGGCGAGACCCATTCGCCACTCATCGGTTGTGGTTCTCGCACTGGCTTATCAGGCCATGGGTTGGTTGGCGAGTGATTTGGGCTTGATCCACGACGCGTGTCCCACGCTCACCGCCTGTTCTTTGATTTTCTGGACAAATCCAACTCGATGACCATATTGCTTCTGCAGAAGGTGGAGCCGTTGATGTTTTCGTATTCCAGCTACGACCACCCGAGCCAAACGCAGATCAAAGTTGGCAACTCGGAGTGGAGTAAGGTAAGCACGGCCCCCGATGAGGATATGGTGTGCTGGTGTGCTGGTGTGCTGGTGTGCTGGTGTGTTGTCAAATGCTTGATCTTCGCATCCAGTAATTGATCTCACTCCCCCCCGCTCTTGTGTATCCTCTATTATACAGCGCATCAGCTTTGAGGCTGTTGGAAGTTCCTTTGATGTTGGCATTCCTTTGCAGAACCAGGGTCAGATCCACATTGGCGTCAACGTCAAAGAAGGGGAAGGCAAGGTACGCATGATGTCGGGATGGCAAAATCACATCGTGATCATACCGGAACCCCACCTGGATTCTGCCGCATCGCGTCCGGGACCATCGGCCATGTCTCGCTCTCTGACTCGACCGCCCTCTTAGTACTTCCTGACCAAGGTGGTAACCTTGACTCCGAGATACATGATCAAGAACAATCTCTCCGAAGAGCTCCACTTCAAGCAGGTCGGAACGGACGTATCCCAGGTTCTCCAGCCTGGCGTTGCCTTCCCGCTCACCACCATTATATCGAGTGGCCGGAACCCGCATTTGACGGTGCGGCTGGGTGGCATCATGAATACCTGGTAGGTACAGCCGATTCCGCATTGCGGGCGATACGGGCTCGATGTTGGTATTCTCGACGAGGATAGCCGTACTTCAGCTCTTCGGCAGTAGCGTGCGGTTTGCTAACGAGCTGCGATGGGGAAATGCTTTCCAAAGGTCCTCGCCGTTCTCGATCAATCTCATCGGTCGCATCCACGTCAAGCTTGGTCTTGCAGGCTCAGAAGCCGAAGATCTCATCCGTGCCGACATCATTGTCGAGGGCGCAACTGTCTTTGTTGTCTTTGCAAAGGAGACCGGACGGTGGCCGTTCCGCATCGACAACCAGTGCTCATGCAACGTTGCCATTTGGCAGCAGGTAAGCAAGGGCATCTAGCAAGGGCATCTCGCCAGGACCGAGACTGCGGATTCGCTCGTAGTCTTGGCACCCTCTCTTTCTTCTCGAGACGACCCAGTGCAGTCACTTACATATGTTCCTGGCCTTGACTCAGCACAAGGATGATACCACAAGCCGCATCTACCGTATCCCGGCTGGAAAATCGCTGTCGTATGCGTGGGACTATCCGTCTGCGGAGAACAAAAGTTTGATTCTTCATGTGAATGGTCGCGAACAGGCCATTGACTTGCTCGAAGTCGGACAGATTGTCCCCATTCGTTACATGGTCGGTAGCCGTGGAATGACCGGAAGGGAGGGCGGAAGGGGGAGGGATCCCTGCTTGCTTCCTGTCGGCCAGCTGGTCGGAGCGATTGGATTTTTACAAAGTCAAGTGGAGCGGCGTCCAAGAGCAAGGTCTTAACATGCCCTTGCTGCTATCAGGACCCCAACGAGAAGAAGAGTGCCACGATGGCAATCAGTGTCAACGCCGAGGGACCCACTCAAATCTTGAGACTGACTCCGTACATCGAGGAACGCAGCCACTTCCGTCGCGGCAAGCGTTCGTCCGAAAAGGAGCGCGCCCTTACCGAGTCCGAAAAGGATGGGTTCGAGCTTGTGAGTATGCTAACCATTTGCATGGCTGCTATCGTAGAGACTCGGCTTTCTGGGGGTGCGGACCGTGTGCTGGACGGACCAATCCTGGAGATGGATGGACGGCGCTGATTCTGCGGTATTCGCTCTCCGGGGACTATGCAGATCGACGTCGACGAGAAGGTCGTGGCCACATACTTGGTCCGACTTGAAGGCATCGGCATCTCTCTGATCTCGAAGGGCATGCAAGAGCTGATTTACGCATCGGCCAAGGACGTGAGGCTCGAGTTCCAGGAGACCAAGACACTGCAGAGAGTCAACTTCACCGTCAAGTGGCTCCAGGTCGACAATCAGCTCTACGGCGGGATCGTGCCCATTCTGCTCTACCCCACAGTCATTCCCAAAGAGGGCAGCGAGAACTTTTACCCCGTGCTCTTGATCACCCTCTCCAAGTCCAAGGACACATGTAGGTTTGCCCACTTTGCGAATGCACCGTCCAGCGGTGATAGTAAGGTTTAATACTCCGTTGCCCTCAGCGTATGGTCTGGAATTGTAAGGAGTGAACAAGCGCAAGGACGAAGACCAAGTGCTTGGTATGAGCTTTATTAGCTTTTAGCCCCGAACACCAAAGAACAAGTTTTGTTCGAACTGGTGTTCAACATAGGCTCAGACATGCAGGGCTATTTATAGACCGGGAGAAGGTCGAGGGGCAAAAGTGGGCGAGAAGGGTGGAGCATCACAGAGAAGCGAGAAGGGGGTGCGAGAGTGGCTGGTGTGCAAGCGAGAGAGGCTTGGCACAGCCCGGGGACATGTGCCGAGCGGTGGGGGAGGCAGGAAACCAGTAGACGCGGGTGGCAACGGCGCGTGCTCATGCATGGGGGCAAACAAACACGTGGGGACTCATGATTGGTGCGGAGGGCGAGAGCATGCGGGACAATCTCATTGGTCCGTTGTGATGCTGGTCATCACACTATCTCCTCCTTAAACTACGGCGTGTTCCATCTTGAGTTCTCCTGGGGCCAGGCTTGTCTGGGTAGCGTCGGTGGTACTCCGCGGCCACCGTTGGGGCAAAGACAATGTCGGCGGGCTCCCAACTTCGATCGGTGACCGGGTAGCCTTTCCAATCGATGAGATAGTGCAGCTTTCCGCGCACGAACTTGGAGTCTAAGATCTCTTCGACCTCCCACTCCAAGTTCCCATCGATGACCACCGCAGGGGGCGGCGCTTGCACCCGACCCGGAAGCGAGTTCTTCTTGTAGGGCTCAAGAAGAGACACATGGAACACCGGGTGCACCTTTATGTCCTTTGGCAAGTCCAGGCGGAAAGCCAATGTCCCGACGGCCTCGAGGATGGTGAATGGTCCAATCCTCTGGTAATCCAGCTTCTTGCTTGGGCGAGTGGTGCTGATGTTACGAGTCAGCACCCAGACTTGATCGCCCGGACGCAAGTCGGGAGCCTGGGACCTCCGGAGATCTGAGAAGTGCTTGTAGTCAGACTTTGCCTTCTCAAGATTCTCCTTCAACAGTGCCAGGTTCCGCTGGAGATGTTCAACCCTCTCCGTGGCAGAGGGAACATCAGGGCCGCCAGCGACAACGGGGACTTCGAACCTTGGGTGGAACCCATAGGTTGCCAAGAATGGCGAGGCATGTGTTGACGAGTTCTCGAGGTTATTGTAAGAGAACTCGGCCAACGGCAGCAGCTCGGCCCAGTCATCTTGCTGATACGACGTGTAACAGCGCAGGTATTGGTTGATGACCTGGTTGACCCTCTCAGTCTGTCCATCGGTCTGGGGATGGAAGGCCGTGGACAGACTGGTTTGGATCCCGAGCTGCGTGCAGAGTGCCTTCCAGAACCGAGAGGTGAACTGACTTCCTCGGTCTGAAACCACTGTGTCGGGGAGGCCATGGAGACGAAAGACATTGTCGAGGAACAGTGACGCAGTCTCCTCCGCCGACGGCAGTGAACGCCAGGACATAAAGTGTGCCATCTTTGTGAGGCTGCATACCACCACAAAGATGCAGGTGTGACCCTTGGACTTTGGCAGATCAGTGATAAAGTCCATGGTCAGTGTCCCCCAGGGTCGATCGGCTGTCTGGAGTGGCAACAGGAACCCAAACGGCTTGTGTCGCGGAGCTTTCGAGCGTGCACAGGTGTCGCACGTCGAGACGTACTCTTTGACATCTTTCCGATAGGTTTGCCACCAAAACTGTCGCGATACCAGAGCCAGAGTCCGTCGGATGCCTGGATGACCCACAGCGACTGGGTCATGGCACGACTTGAGCGCCGGAACTCGGCACGACTCTGGGACCACAATCCTGTTCTGGAAGGTGAGGTACTGGCCATTCCAGACGAACTTCGGGTCACGACGGTATTTGTCTAGACCGGGATCCCGAGCCTGCTCTTCGGCTATGAGCTGCAGCAAATCCACAGGGTCACTGCGACTTGCAACCGAAGAGCGGGCGTCTCTGCTTCGGAGCACGCGTATCACCGCGGCAGGATCGAGAAGCAGAGGCGGATCCCTCGACACGGAGGCCGACGAAGGGATGTAGTCCGAGCGACGAGACAGGGCATCGGCCTTGCCGTTCCTCGCACCAGGACGGTACTGGATGCGGATGTCGAACCGAGACAAGAACTGGGACCACCGTGCATGACGCTGGTTTAGGATGCGAGCCGTTGCCAGGTACTCCAAGTTCTTGTGATCGGTCAGAACGGCAACGGGATGCTGGGCGCCTTCGAGGTAGTGTCGCCACGCCTCGAAAGCCTCCTTGATCGCCAACAGCTCTTTCTCGTATATGCTGTAGTTACGTTCAGCATTCGAGAGTGTCCGCGAATGGAACGAGCAAGGATGAAGGCGATCATCAGCACCCCGCTGGGAGAGCACGCATCCAAGCGCAAAGTCCGACGCATCTGACTCTACGACGAACGGCTTGGATGGGTCCGGATGCACCAGAACGGGCTCCGAAACGAAGGCATCCTTCAAGGATCTGAATGCTTTATCGGCTTCGCGGGACCACTGGAAGCCATGCGTCTTCCGGAAGAGCCGAGTCATGGGCCCCGCGATCTTTGCGTATCCATCGATGAAGCGTCGATAGAAGTTCGCAAACCCGACAAAGGATCGAAGATCCGAGATGTTGCGCGGTATGGGCCAATCCAAGATCGCAGAGAGCTTGGATCGCTCCATACCGATGCCCTCGGGCGAGACCATGAAACCAAGGAACGAGACCGAGGTTTTGGAGAACTCGCACTTCTCCAGCTTGCAATACAGCTTTGCAGCTCGGAGCTTCGAGAGGACCTGCTTGACGTGCTCTACATGCTGCGACGGATCAGCACTGTAGATCAAGATATCGTCAAGATACGCAATTGCGAACTGGTCCAACTCGGTGCGCAGGACGTCGTTGATGAAGTGCTGGAACGTCGCTGGCGCGTTGGTGAGCCCAAAGGGCATCACCAAGTACTCGAAGTGCCCATATCGAGTACGGAAAGCTGTCTTCCACTCGTCCCCGGAGCGGATGCGCAGCAGATTGTAGGCTCCACGAAGGTCCAGCTTAGTGAACACCTTCGCGCCTCGAAGTCGGTCCAGCAGCTCGCCGATCAGCGGTAAAGGGTAACGGTTCTTTACCGTGATACCGTTCAGTGCGCGGTAGTCAACGCAAAGACGAAGTGAGCCGTCCTTCTTCTTGACGAAGAGGATTGGTGAGCCTGCTGGGGACGACGAAGGACGAACGAATCCCTTGGCAAGATTCTCGTCGAGATAGTCACGCAGAGCGTGAAGTTCGGGCTCGGACAGTGAGTACAGAGGCCCGAACTTTGGCGACTTGCCCGGCTCCAAGTCAATGGGGCAGTCATAAGGGCGATGCGGAGGCAAGGAGTCAGCTTCCTGTTTAGAGAAAACAGACAGGAAGTCCTTGTACTCCGCAGGCACTTCGACAGTCGCAGTGCTCGGCTCGTCAGTGGGCAGGACATGGACCTGAAAGATGGTCAGGGGTTGCGTTCCATGCCTGCATGCATCCAAAGACTCGCGCATCGAGCGGTAATCAATGCTGCAGACGCGGAGAGGAGCGTCCGAGCTGAGAGGAGGGGCGTGGACAAGGTCAGAATAATGTTCGACGGTTACTTTATTCTGAACAATGTCCGAAGAACAAACAACAGGAGGAGGTACATCAAGGAGGGAAAGAGAACTGACAACAGAAGAAGGGGTTTGGGAAGAGCGAAGGGGTTCGGGAGGAACAAGACAAGAAGGGGAAGACGAAGGTGGGAGCGTAGGAGAGGAGCTTAGATCAATCAAAGGAGTGGAATCATCAAGAAGGGGAGTGACATTGGAGGAAGTGGAGCAAGACGAAAGAGAAGTAGTGCATGGAGAGGGGTCGGAATCAACAGAAGGAGGGAGACAAAGAAGACCGCGAGACCAGACAATCTTGGGCTCGGCGGTGCGCAACCAAGGAAAGCCAAGGATAAGTGGTTGATGTGGAGACCTGATCACATCGAACCGAAGGCGTTGCGAGACGTCCCCGAGAATCACCTCGAGTGGAGCAGTCTCGCGGAGGATGGGGCCAGACGACAGCGGCTTACCATCCACGCCTTCCACTGCCAAGGGCGAAGCCTTGGAGCAGGTGGGGACAGAGTGTCGAGCAACAAAGTCCTCGTCGATAAAGTTGCCAGAGGCACCAGAATCGACAAGTCCTTCGCACGACAGAGAATCACCAGAAGGAAGACGAACAGCGACGGGAACAACCAACGAGCAACGACGAACAGACGAAACACAAGACTTTGGTTCGGTACCAGCTTCGGCACCAGGGTTGCGGCTAGCACAGACAGTTAACTTTGCCGAGGGTTGGCAGGACAGCTCAGGTATTTGCACCTGTGGATGAGGTGCAGTTCCCAGTGACACCAGAGGTGCCACGGGTACTATGCCAGAGCTGAGAGTGTCCGCCGGTCCAGAGGCAAGGCGAAGCTGTCCGCACATCACTGCTTCCCCAGTACTTACCAAAGGCACCTTACCAATGTCTTCACTTTCGGAAGGCGGTGGGCACGGCTCCGGTTCAAGGCCTTCACTTAGAACCGGGCCTGGTCGTTTCCCGAACTGAAGTCTTGCACTTCTCCATCTTCGTAAACGATGGTGCGGATGATCCTCGGGCCGGGAGGTCCAGGGGGCGGTCCGGTAGCTCTGGTAGATCCAAACTTGACGGGGCAGTTTCGTACCAAGTGGCCCTTCTTGCCACAGTACAGGCAGAGTCCAAAGCGGCGGCGGCGTTGTTTCTCCTCGGCGGTCAGGGGTCCAGAGACGGCAGAGTCCACTTGCATGGGCTCGGAAACAATGTAGGAGGGGTGCGGCGGAGCGAGGACGGACGCGGGAGCGATGGCGGGAACGGCAGCGGAGGCGGAACCAAAGGCGAACTGGGAAGACCGGTAGCGGGCAGGCGTGCTTCGGCGCTCTTGACGGCGCTCGCGGATTCGTGCATCGAGCTCGTTACAAAGCTCGATGTACTCCTCCAGATCTCGTGGCAGAGGGCGAACTCGCGAAAGTTCGTCTCTGACATCATCCGACAAGCCAAGTCGGAAGAACGAGATCTTTGCACCGTCGTTCCAAGTCGTATCGGCGGCAATACGAAGGAACTCGGATGCATAGACTGCGCACGGGCGGTTGCCCTGAGACAGTGTGGTGATCACTGACTCGGCAGTCCTGGCCCGATCAGGGTCGTCAAACACTTTGGAAAAGCGTTCTAGGAAATCGCCAAAAGAGTTGAGTCGGGGATCACCCATCTCAAGCATCGGAGTCGCCCACTGGAGAGCCGGTCCAGTGAGCAGACTAATGACGAATCCGACCTTAATCGGGTCAGCAGGGAACCGGTGGGGCTGCATTCGTATATACAGTTTGCACTGATTTACGAATGCCCGGAACCCTTGCCGGTTACCGTCGTAACGGTCCGGCATCTGCACGCTGTACCCAGCGGCAGGAGCATCGCGAGCTGTCCGGAGCTCGGCGAGCTCGGCCTCCAAGGCACGGAGGCGGTCCACGAGGGCAGGATCCATGGCGGGACTGGGACTGGGACTGGGAAAAAAAAAAAAAGCGAGGAGGTTCAAGAACAGGAGAGCGAAGAGGGCTCAGACACAAGTGTGCTTGAGGTTCGGACAGGACTAGGAAAGGGGCGGGGCTAGGAGCGGAAGATACCAAGCAGGTGGTATCAGTAGAAGAGAGTTCGAACAAAGTGTAAGGAGTGAACAAGCGCAAGGACGAAGACCAAGTGCTTGGTATGAGCTTTATTAGCTTTTAGCCCCGAACACCAAAGAACAAGTTTTGTTCGAACTGGTGTTCAACATAGGCTCAGACATGCAGGGCTATTTATAGACCGGGAGAAGGTCGAGGGGCAAAAGTGGGCGAGAAGGGTGGAGCATCACAGAGAAGCGAGAAGGGGGTGCGAGAGTGGCTGGTGTGCAAGCGAGAGAGGCTTGGCACAGCCCGGGGACATGTGCCGAGCGGTGGGGGAGGCAGGAAACCAGTAGACGCGGGTGGCAACGGCGCGTGCTCATGCATGGGGGCAAACAAACACGTGGGGACTCATGATTGGTGCGGAGGGCGAGAGCATGCGGGACAATCTCATTGGTCCGTTGTGATGCTGGTCATCACAGGAATACTACAACTGGTTCAGCATCTTGCTTCAAGAGTTTTCGTTTGAGGCCGACGAGGACATTCTCTATGCAATCGTAGAGTTCTCCAAGTTCCAGGTGGCCGGCTGGGATGTCCCTGCGCTGAGGTACAGTCGCGTGCATCTGCGCCCCGGATCTCGGGCGAACGCCTTGCCACTGCCACTGCCACTGCCACTGCCACTGCCACTGCCACTGCCACTGCCACCAGCGCAACTTGCCGACCGTCTGTCGTGGTGGCTTCAGGAACGGCCCTAACCTCCATCGCTATGGCTGTGCTCTCCAGCGTCGATCAAGTCTTTGACACCACGCTCGAGCTCCCCAAATCCACGCTTGCGGACGACGATACAAGAATGTACTTTGAGAAGTTTTTGCTGCAGCCGATCAAAATCAATATTTCGTTCTCACGCACCCAGGCGGTCAACCGCGAGGAGCCTGTGTAAGTAGTCCTGCCCAATCTGGCTCTCCGCCCTGGTTGTCCTTGCCTCTGCCGCTATTTGTTGGCTCGGGTATTGCATGAAGATGATATGGACGGGGTCCTGTCGGAATGGGATCAGGCGCGCCGCTACCTCGCCATCATCATTTCCAGGCTCCCTGGTGCTTATGCGCTACGTCTGACTCTCCTTACAACAGAATCAAGTCTGGAGGCGTGCTTACCTTTATGATCGATGTTCTGACGACCTATATCGCCAACTGGCATGTACGTAGAACCGATGTTATTTGATATATTTGCGACATGGCCTCGCCCTCGCTCGCTGCCGAGGCTCGCCTGCTCGTTCTGTATGAGTCTGCTAATCCGATTGTTGTGACTTGGTGCTGCACGATCATCTATCGTGGCATCCACAGGACGCTCCTTGGCAATTCAATGTAGGTTGCTCGATCGAGGCGCTGTGGGGAACCGCAGCACGCCTGTGGAGCTGTTTATCAGAGAGGGCCCCTTGTGAATCCAAAACTCACACACTGCTACATGACGCTATAGGCCCTGGAGCTATCCCACCCGATCGTGACGCCCTCCCAGCTTGTCGACCTGATCGTCCGCTTCTATACCGAGGAGGCTGTTGGGCAGGTACGTATTTTGTAGCAAGCTGCGTGCGAGTATTGAAGTGAGGGTCATCGTGGTGCGTTTGTCATGTCAAAGAGGACGAGGAACGCCTATCCTGGCTAACCTGGGATTGGAATGACAGCTCTGGCGAACCGCGCTGGGCTCGGCAGATTTCCTTGGAAACCCGATCGGCCTGTTCAACAATGTGAGTTCGGGCGTCTCGGACATGTTCTACGAGCCGCTGCAGGGCTTTGAAATCACTCGACCACAGGACCTCGGAATCAACTTTGCAAAGGTAAGAATCCAATTAGCGTACTGGTGGCGATGACCCCTTGATGCCGCAGGCCGCAACTCGGCGTTACCGTGATTTGTGGCTCACCAGAAGTGGCGATGTGGCGATGCCGGGGCCCATTTCGACACTTGCTACTCTAGGGCACCGCAAGCTTAGTCAAGAAGACCGTGTATGGTCTCTCAGATACCGTATCCAGAGTTACTGGAAGTGTCAGCAAGGGTGAGTCTTTGGTTTTGCCAGATTGCGATGCGAGCAGCTTTGCCGGCTGGATGGCGAGGCACTCGACTGATCCGTGTATTGCGACTTCACTCTCGGCATCCAATGCCCAGGCATTGCCAGGATCACTCTTGATGAAGAGGTATGTTTCGCAATGTTTGTGCGAGACAGTATTCGGCAAGTTCGGTGGGAGATATTGCGCTTCGACGACGGTACTGACTCGTCGCATCATCCGTCGCAATCAGTTCCAAGCTCGTCGTCGAATCCATCACGCCAGGTAGCTGCCAATTGCCTCCAGCCAGCGGGATGAATCGAGGGAGATTGAAAGCAGCGGTGTGGATGAATCTCTGTCGTTCTGTCCCTGCCACCCCTGCCGTCCCCGTTTCTGCCGACACTTGTGCACTGGGCGGCAAGCTGACAGCCCTGACTCACATGCACGCTTACAGAAATCGACCCAAGCATGCCGTCAGCGGCATTTCAACGGGTGCTTTGTCGCTGGCGTCAAGCGTCGTCAGCGGCGTGACAGGTGTCGTGGTAAGTCGGAGTGGCGATGATAGTGTCGAATCGTATGAATGCACCTTCCCATGACTCAGTTTCCTGTGACTGTGGCTCGGTGATGACGGCGTGCGCCAATTGATTTACTGTTCTTGTCATCTCCAGTCCAAGCCTCTCGAAGGGGCCGAGAAGAGCGGTGTCGGTGGTTTTTTCATGGGGCTCGGTGTTGGTCTCGTGGGGTAAGTGCGAGGGACGATCGAGTCGTTTCGCCCGAGGCAGAAGGATGGGAGGGTGCCCTGCTGTGCAATGCCAGTTGATTCGCACGGGTCGAAAGGCGCGCTTGTAACTTGGCATTGCGAATTGTCTCATAGTGTTGTAACCAAGCCGGTGGTTGGAGCATTTGATCTCCTCAGTGATGTTAGCCAAGGTCAGTAGCTGGTCGGACACGGCATGAGCACGACATGAGCATGACATGGGCATATCAGGAGCGTAGCACGAGCATGGCAGGAGTATCGTGGTGATATATGCACATGCATCAGCTCCAACTGAGGCAATCCTACCGCATGTTCTCCAGGCATCAAGAACACGGCCACTTCCGAAACAGAACTGGAGCGCCAGAGGCTGCCGCGACTTATTGGCAAAGACAGAATCCTGAAGGTAGGCACGATGATTCCCAGGCCAAACGGCTGGGCTTCGATGCTTGTTGTGGCGGTTGTGAACCAGCGGTGTAGCGAGTCGTTCTTGGGGGCATTCGGAAACTGATGCCGCTCCAAATGACAACCAGCCCTACGATCCACGCGAAAGCATCGGACTCAGCTGGATCAAGGAGCTCGAAAATGGCCGCTACTTCAAAGAGGAGTACATTGCCCACATCGGTGAGTTCTGCATGCATGCCATCGTGTGAGTGTCGGGGTGGCGAGTGTCCGTTCTGAGCGGCCAACCGACGGCCGTCTGACTCGTGGACTGGCTGGCTCTGCCTCGACATCAAACAGAGCTTCGCACCGAGGACCTTGTATCGATCGTGACGGATGCTCGGGTGCTGATGGTCCGAATCAAGCGTCTCAAGGTCGAATGGGAGATTCCCTTCGAAGGTACGACGAGAGTGGCTGGGACGGGACAATCATGTATGCCAAAACGCTCCATGGGTCGTCGGACTAACGTACAGGATCCGGTGACGATGTATCCTTGACATCGCAGACCTCCAGCTGGTCCGCGTCGAGGGCAATTCGGTTTCGTTGATCAAGGCCGCTCGCCAAGGACAGGCGAGCTCTCGGATTGTGCCATGCTCGGATCCCGCGAGTGCCCAGGTGAGACCCGAGCGCATGCAGGGTGATGGCAATATGCCGGACATTGTCCGAGCCCAAGCCATGGCGTGGACAGGACATGGAGTGGCGAGGGAAAGGAAGTGGAAGAGGAAAACGCATGGGGGGGGGGCTCGTGCGATGGAAGCGGGCGAATCGCCATGTCTGCGGATGAGTCCCAAGACTGGGTCGCTGACGCACTCGCTTCATCTTTACCAGTGGTATTGCAAGCGCATCGAGGACGCATTTGCAGTCCACATCGACCTCAACCGGCCCTTGGATTGAAGCCACAAGCGTCCTGGGCGTGCCCGGAGGGTCCTCATGGGATGGCGAGCCATGAGCGCGAGGCGGTTGCTGAGCCGAATAGAGTCATGGCCATCACAGATCCACAAGTCGATTGGAGGTGGCGGCGGTTGTGGTGCTGTGCTATCGCTGGATGCGACGACTGAAGCAGGAGGGCCCCATGTTCCAGCTGGAGAATGCCTCCCATCCACCCATCCATCTGTTCATCTGTTCATCCATCCATCGCCCACCAAACGGAACCAGGGCAGACAAGACCGAGACCGAGACCGGGACCGAGAAGCCCCACCGACACCGAGACCAAGACCGAGAAGCCCCACCGACACTGAGACGACCGTGGGCGACAAGGACAGCCAGGGTGACAGCGGCGCGCGGTGTCTAAGGGTGTCGGTCATGACGACCGGTGCGCATGGAGCGCGTGGGCGCGGAACCAGTCAGCGATCGGAGCGATCGGGGTGGAGGGAAAAACTGGTCTTGTGGGGCAGCAACAAGCAGCGACGAGCAGCGACGAGCAGCGATGGGAAGAAATGGGCAAGGACGAGACAGCCACGCCTTCGGTCGGCGGCGCTGCCAGCATATGCCTGGTGGGCGAGAGACAGCGACGAGCAAGGCCAGCAGCGGGCGAGCTGTGGATGAGCTGCAGAGACGGCAGACGACTGGGAGGGCAGCGAGCCAGTCTCCAGACCGGCTCTGGCCAGGACCAGACGAGCGGATCCAACGCTGTCGCTGGTAACGAAAACAAGCAGTGACGGCAACAATACGCAACAATACGCAACAATACGCAGCAACAGAGGCAACAGAAGCAGCGGCACAGAGACAACGGCAGTGCCAGCAGGCAGCGGGACTGGGCCGGCGGTGACGACATCGCCTTGTTGCGATTGGGCCATTCGGGTTGCACGGGCAACGTGTCCGGGCGGGCGCGGGCTTGCCCACCCATCCCTCCCAGCATCGGCACGGCGAGAAGGCCCCGAGAAGGCTCGAGACCGCTGCCACGCACAGTCAGAGAGCACCACCACACGCCGAGAGCGCACCGAGAGCGCACCGAGAGCGCACCGAGAGCACCCGTGGCCCGCCACACACACACGGGCCACACACACACGCCCACGCCCACACACACACAGCCGCGGCGCTTTATAACCAGCAGCGTCGCCTCCGTCGGCCTTCATTTCAAATCTTTGCTGCCTTCCCCGCCATCTTCGGCTGTTGCGCTGCTGACTCGCCCGACCGTTGCCGCAAAGCAAGCTTTTCGCTGCTTATATATTCTGAGCATCGCCTGTCGCCTGCACATCCGGCCCGTCTGCGCTGCACGCTGCCCCTCGCCCTCCTCGTCCTGACTGTCGGCGACAACGCCTGCCAGGCTTCCCATCCCCCTCAGCGTCATCCCGAGGAGCGATAGCCTCTCATCGATCCCCTTCGTCACCCAACTCGAACTCGATCACCATATTCCCCCCTTCCCCGGCACACCCCCTCTATTCCCTACATCGCACCCCACTCTCGCCTCGCCAACCATGGCCTTTAACCCCAACGATAACTACTCTGGGTACATCACCAACCTCAACCTCGCCGAGACCCTCCAGCCGTCGCCCTCGGTCGTCGAGGACCAGAGCCTGCAGGCCGAGCTCGACCTCTGGTCGACCGCCGACTTTTGCATCGACGGCCTCGATGTCTTCTCCTCTGCGAATCTGGCCTCGTGGGCGCGCGACATCCAGCCCGAGGGCTCGTCGTCGTCGGACGCTGCTTCCTGCGGCGGCAACAGCAGCTTGCAGTCGCCTCCGCAGCCACCTGGTTACCCCGCCCTCGCTGGCTACCAATCGTCGCCCCAAGTGAGCTCGGGCCCGTCCACGCCCAACTTCAACCCCATCCACAACATGCCGATGCAGCCCATGGGCCCGTCCCCGTCGTCGTCGTCGTCGTCGTCCCTGGGCCTGGATGCACCAAAGTCGCAGGCCGTCCTCGATATGTATCTTCAGCAGCAACTGATCCAGCAACAGATTTCGCAGCGCTTCATTGCCGAGCAAATCGCCCAGCAGAACCAAATCCTGCAGTCGCTCATCTCGACACAGGCGTCGCTTTCCACCCAGACATCGACCCTTGCTGCCCAGGTGCTTCCGCCGCCCTCGGTCGGTCCCATGTCGGTGCACCCCGGACCCGGGCCTCTTCACAACATTCCTATTCCTGGTCCTGTCCCTGTTCCCGTCCACACGTCTCCCGTTCCCACCCTTCCATCGCACCCGCCGCCGCCACCTCGCCTGGCTCCCAAGGAGGCTCCTCTCCTGCCAAAGATTGCGCCGATTGCGTCCAAGCCCGCCAGCGTGCCTCCCCAGGAGCCTCCTGCCCCCCTCGTCAACACCAACAACAAACGTCCGCTGTCGTCGCTTTTGAACCCGCCATCGGCACCGACCCCTGCCTCCACCGGCTCTCCAGCACCGCTTGCCTCCTCTGCTCCTGTAACCCCTCCGCTCAGGATCTCCACCAAGAAGCCAGCCGTGACACCCTTGGAGACCAAGCGCGGCGATTCTTCCCAGAGCGAGTCTCCCTCACCCACTGAGGAGAACGCAGCACTCGACTCGCCTATCAAGGATAGCTCGGACAAGGCTTCTTCGGCGTTCGACAAGAACTCAGAACCCCTCAACAAGCGACAGCGGAACACGGCTGCATCGGCTCGCTTCCGCGCCAAGAAGAAGCAGCGCGAGCAGCAGCTTATGCAAACGGCCAAGGATATGACTGCCCGCTCCGAGCTGTTGGAGCGACGTCTGCGAGGTACTTGTCGAGGAGCGGAGGCGGGCATGCTCGTGGCGGCCAGGAGACGTTGCTGGTTTGGTTGATTGCTGGCTTGGTTGATTGCTGGCTTGGTTGATTGCTGGCTTGGTTGATTGCTGGCTTGGTTGGTCCATGGGCTATGCAGTCCTGAGTTTTTTGTTTTATTTATTTTTTTTGTTTCCTAACCCGGCTCCTTCTCTGAACCTTGTCTGAACTGTGCGATCGTCCAGAGTACGAGATGGAAATCAAGTGGCTGCGACAGCTCGTCACTGAACGCCACGGGCGCTCGCTTGCGGATATCTACGAGCAGGTACGGACTTGGTCGCCAGGGCGATGCGGTGTCTAACAAAGACGCAGCCATGTGTGTGGGACCAACGAGGCCAGCGAAGCCAGCGAGGCCAGCGAGACCAGGAAGGCAAACCAACGAAACCCGCCGCTCATTATCGCTGGTTTCTGATACCCATGTTACAGAACGGTCTCAAGCTGGACGACCACGTCCTGCCCGCTATCAACTCTGCGGAAGAGGCGCCGCCGACAGCCGAGCAGTCCGTCGGCATGTACGCGCGGCTCTACGGCAAGGACCCATCGATCCAGGGCCTGGATCCGGCCAAGCGGCTTCGCCACTGATCGCATCCTCGTATTTATTGCGTCGGCCAGCGCGAATGTGCCCCCCGCTCCTGCCCTGCCTCGATCCGGATCTCTCCCCCTTCATCGCCCACATCGACTATCGACCATACGCTGTCTGTAAAAGACTTGACTGCGAGCTCTCACATCCACGCTGCTCTTCTCGTGGTGTCGCAGCCCTCGTGGCCCTGCTCATGGCAGGGTGAGGTCACATAGGCGGAAGGACGTGCCGATGAGATCGTGGCGAGGCACTGTGCCCGCATCACGCCGCGCGCAAGGATACGGCATGGTCCCGGTATATCTGTTCGTTCCGTTTCCCCTTTCTGGCATCCTGCATCCTATTACAAACACTTGCATGATAACTCACTGGCTGCCTAATTGTACTCTACCCTGTCGTTCTGCCCTGTCTGTGAACTCGATCCTGTCTACCTTTGCCCACCCTTGCCTTTCTTTCTTGCCGCCGTTTCTCCCCCATGATGAATGTACCTTTCCTCACCCACCCCTCTTTCCATCCACGAACACTCTCCCCTCCCCGCTCTCTCTCTCAATGCATGAACTGACTTTTTGGTGATAGCAGCAACTGCCCTGCTTGTCGACATTCAATATATTGCTTCGATAGTCCTTCCAAAACCCGCCGCTGTCAAGTCAGGCTTGGCCGGATGTTCACGAGCCCCGCCTGTCTATGAACTCTGCATGTTCATGGTTCCTAACCCAAGCCAGCAACAGCAACAGCCAGAACCCAGGCCATGTGAAACATGATCCAGCCGGGCGCCTTCCTCCTCCACCCCACGCTCCCGCTTTGCCCCCCACAGCTCGGTATCTCTCGAGATAGCGCTGGCGCAGACACCAATGCAGACCATCCTCCCCCACGCTCCATGGTGCCGCATCGCCCGCCCCGTCGCTTTGCCTGGCCATGTGCCTGAACACACCCCTCCCAAGCGCACCATCGCGCAGGCTTCTCTCGTCATCAGGGCGCAATGTCCCCTGCCCAATCAGAACATGCGTCCGTGGCGCAATGGCTGTGGAACTGACCGCGGACCAATCGCAGCGCCCTGCGATGACGACAGCAGTCCCTGGCGAGAACAGCGCGAGAGTAGGCGAGGACCGAGCGAGCGCCGCGGCGAGGACAGCCACACAACAGACGGCCCGTCAGCCACAGCGCTTTCTTTGACTCTGTCAGTTGTCGCTGCGGGCTGGACACCCAACATCCAACCAACCGTCCTGCCGATCCCGTCACCATCGCCATCCCCGATCCCACCCGCCTCCCTTCTGGCCTTGAACGACCCGCCAAGGCACCAGCAGCCCTTCTGTTTGGCCAACTGCACTCTTCCGGGCCCTGCTCCTTCGTCAAGCCGACCAGAGCCCGCCCCAGCCCCAGCCAATCCCGCTCCGTTCTTGGCCAAGTGTGTCCCCACTGCCTCCTCCAACCCACAGCAAGCAGCTTGGAGATATCAGGGTTGGCACGCTCGCCTCCTTCACAGCCGCCGCGCTTCCCAGCGAGCTCTCCTCCAGCTCCATCGCTCGGCGTTCCTTATCACCTCTGCAACCAACCTGCCCAGCCTATCGATTGTCCAGGTCAGTGCCCCTGCAATCTGCTGTGCTCGACCCTCTCGCACGAACACACCGAAGCATATTCGTATTGTTGGAACAAGCGGCATTCAACGCTGTGCTGTCGCAGCACCCTCAATGAGGCAGCACCCACAATGAGGCAAATCGGACCGATGCACAACAGCCCTCTCTTGGTCTTGTTCAGCCTTGCAGCAACGAGTTGCAAATGGAGCTTCACTTCCCCGGCGGATGCGGCAGCCCGGCTTGTCCTTAGCGGCCACGCCGACGATCCCCGCCACAACCAGAACCGATACAGAACTCTCGTCAAGCACGTAGTCCAGCTGCCAGGACGATGGCGACAGCGGTCCTCCTTACTCTGCCCATGTTGATCTGTGCACGCTCCGCTGACTGCCGCACTCCTTTTTCTCTTGACCCCGCTCGTTCGCTCGTCATCCAGGCACCACCCACACGCTGGCCGCCATTCCGTCATCGCCATCTGAAATTCCGACGCTTCCCACGCAACCGAGCACTTTTTCCCGCCCGTCGGATTGCTTCTGCCCTGTTGGTCTCGACTCAGCCGCCCCTCCCCCGATCCGTCGCTCGGTCCCCGCTCCCCGCTCAATACCCGGACCGACCGTCGACCCTCCTCTACCATCGTCTTTTCGTCGCCGCCATTCCCGCTTCCTGTTGCTTTGGATCAAGTACTAACTAGCAGGTGAGAACCCCGCCGTTGCCCCTTCTTGGCCTGTCCCTCTGCTGTCACCTTCGGGGGGGGGGTTCATTTGTGCTGGGCTCCCCTTCCTTTCGCTCTTTCTTCACCCTTGCCCACATCTCAATCTGGAGCCTCTATCCATTAGCCCTCCATCGCCCTCCATCGCCCTCCATCGCCCTCCATCGCCCTCCATCGCCCTCCATCGCCCTCCATCGCCCTACTCCCCAGTCCATCCAAGTCTTCCCTGCTTCCTTCTCCTCAGTCAGTCTCGAGCCCCTTCTCGTCTTTCGTCGGGCCATCTCGCACATTCCCTCCAGTGCTTGCGTCACTTTCGTATTAATAATCTGTCCTCTTGGCCAAATAGAAACAACCTTCCCTCCTCCTCCTCTTCCCAGCACTTGATTCTCGAGTACGCTTCCCACGACGCTCCCTCCCCCACTTCACCTCACAAGCTCTTGTACACACGCCTCAACCCGTTTTCGTTAACATCGTCGACATCATCGCCTTCCCCTCCCTTCCCTCCCTGCCTCTGGTTCCTATGATAGCGCCTCCGATCGACAACCCTTCCGCCTACATGAACACCCCTGCGGTTCCCGAAACAAAGGTACGTTGGCCTACAGCCAGGCGAGGCCAGTCGCTTTCGCTGCCTGTGTCTCACGCCTGCACTACTCCCTACTCCCACCTCATTCAATGTCGCTTTGCCCTCACTCCGCACTAACACCCCTTTCGCCACAGAGAAAGCTGGATGAGACCAGACTCTTGTCCAGGCTCAAGAAGGAGGATGCCCTCGTCCTGTCGCAGATGTGGACATGTTTTGAGCAGCTCTCAGACCTGCGCCATGTCTTCCTCTCCGGGCTCGTCAGTCGGTGTCGTCTCACCGACCTCTCCCTCCTGTCGTGCTCCCTCCCGAACCTTCTGCGGTTCGACCTCGTCGGCAAGCTGCCGCCCGAGATTGCGCTCCACATCTTTCAGTACCTCGATGCCAAGTCGCTGTGTCATGCTGCTCAAGTGAGCAAGGCCTGGAAGATCCTGGCCGACGATGACGTCATCTGGCACCGTATGTGTGAGCAGCACATTGACAAAAAATGCAACAAGTGTGGATGGGGCTTGCCGCTGATGGACAAGCGCCGCATCGAGCGGGCCCCCGTCATCACCGAAATCCAGCAGCAGCAGCAGCAGGCGCAGCAGCACCAGCAACAGCTCCTCGAGCACCAGCAGGCCCAACAGCAACATCAACAGCAAGCGCAGTCTGCGGAACACCCGCCCGCCCAGCAATCTCAGATCGTTCCCTCGGTCTCGAGCGGATCGTACTCGGACTCGGACCTTGAACCTCCCCGGAAGCGAAGCAAAATCCTGCCGTGCGACTCCGTCGCCACGTCACCATCGCCATCGCCATCGTCGTCCTCGGCCTCGCCCTCGTCTTCAGCCAACAATGCCGTTGCACAGACCGCTCGTGTCCCCTCGACCGCCCCTGTCCCGGCTGAATCCACCCCTGTCCAGCAGAGCCAGCCCCGTGCCGCCTCGCCGCCCTATCGCCGTGTTATCTATGCCCGGCCATGGAAAGACATCTACGCCGAGCGAATGATTGTCGGACGCAACTGGCGGCACGTCAACTACACCACAAAGGACCTGCAGGGCCACACCAAGGGCATCACGAGTCTCCAGTTCGACTCGTGCAAGGGCCTGCTGATATCGAGCTCGTACGACACCACCATCCGCGTCTGGGATATGGAGTCGGGCAAGTGTCTCAAGGAACTCACCGGCCACACCCGGTGTGTGCGCGCGATCCAGTTCGACAACGTGAAGCTGATCTCGGGCTCGATGGACAACACCATCCGCATCTGGAGCATGAAGACATTCGAATGCCTCCGTGTCCTGGAAGGCCACAACAACGGCATAACCTGCCTGCACTTCAACGACCGGATCCTGGCGACCGGCTCCAAGGAAGGACCCATCCGTGTCTGGGACATCAAAACCGGCAAGTGCTTCTTCCTGGTGGGTGAAGAGGAATACGTCAACAAGGTCCAGATCCTGCCCAACAACCAGCTGCTGAGCTGCTCCGAGGATCACGCCGTCAAGCTGTGGGACTTGACCACCCGACAGATTCTGCGGCGCTTCAACGGACACACAGCGCCCGTGCAGAGTCTGCAGGCGTACATCCACCCTTCGCTCATTCGGCCATCACACCGAGGTGACCCCAGCGCATCGAGTGGCGGCAAAGACAGCAGCCTGGACCTGCCGAAATCTGCCAAGCTGGTGACCTGCGGCCTCGACAACACCCTCCGAACATGGTCGCTGTCAACGGGAGAGTGTCTCAACACCCTCTTTGGCCACACCGACGGCGTTTGGTGTGTCTCGTTCGACTCGCTGCGGATCGCGTCCGGTGGCCAGGACGGGGTCATCAAGATATGGGACAACGAAAGCGGTACTCTGCTCTTTGATTTGGCAGGCGGCCACAACGCCGCAGTCAATTGTATCCAGCTCTCGGATACGACCATCGTCAGCTGGTGACAACAATGGTGCCATCCGTGTCTGGAGCTTCCTTCCCAGTCGCCTGGGCACCACCACCAGCAGCAGTAGCAGCAGTAGCAGCGCCGCCTCTGTGGTCTGAGGCACGGCATCCACGGCCCCGACTCGGTTGCCGACCAAGTCGCATTGGCAGCTTGATCACATCCCGCGTCTCTCCCACACCCATGGCGGGTCTACCCCACCCCTCTCCACCCCACCCCTCTCCATCCCACTCCTTCCTCGCCCGGCTCTTCCGCTGGCTACAGCGCGTAGTTGGTATCGTCCACCCTCGTGGCCGCTCCATTCGATGAGGTCGCGGCTCCGCTGCAGCACACCAATGGACTGGAGATGGACTGGAGATGAATGATCGATCCATTTGTCTCCCACTCCCCAACAGGCTCCCAAAAAAAAAAAAGATGAAATGAAGAAACCATGAAGAAAAACGAAACATCGACGCATATATGCATTCACGAATCGCCCCCCCCCCTATCCCCCTATCCCCATATCCCCCTATCCCCCCGATTTCCTCCCTTGCACTGAACTTGGTATATACAAGCAGATCCGACGACGATCTTTTGGATTTTGCGAGAAAATAATTGTAGCTCTCTCGTTTTCATTCATCCATCCCTTCTTTCTTTTGTTTTTTTTCCTTACCCTTTTTGACGTTGCCCTTTTTGTGATCCGAGCAACAAATCATATGTATCCTGAGCTCTTCCTCTCTGCATTTCCAAAAGCTCACGCCGCTGTCCTTCGTATGTACCCTTCGTCCTTCGGCTCCTGTGATGCCGCCGGCACTCACAATTGTTCTTGCCTTTTTTTTCTTCTTCTGTCCCTGATTTGTGGCGGGGGCTTGTGAAATGAAGCGGGGACACCTCTTTGCCTCCGTATCCAATGGCCATTGTGCTACTGTACCCATTTTGAAATGGGGACGCCCTGTTTCGAGCCAGGGCCGTCGTTGATTTCCAAGCCTGAATACACTTATTCACCGACTGCGTGACAATGTCTCTCTGCGGGAGGCGGCCTCGATTCATGAACACGCGACCAGGGTATCCAAACGCGAAAATTGGCGTGGTTGGCGAGAGGCGGCGCCGTTCCCAAGCAAGAGCAGCGCTTCGGTGGGCAGCCTGGGGCGGAAGCAGAGGACGAAGCTGGATGAGCACCGCCGGCGTTGTTTCGGTCCTGCTGTCGCCAACCGTCCTCGACACAACATCTCCCCGTGGTCATCATTTCGCAGCTCCCAGCCAGCACCTCGCGTATGTAACACTGCTTTGATTTCAACCAGACGCGGAGGGGTAACACCATGTCGCCGTCGCAGTGGCTCTCGCTCTTGCGACTCAGTTGCTGCCGGCTTGGAGCGATGGTTCCGTTCTCGCTCTCCCGTCCGCCGTCCCTCGGCTCATAAAAACTCTTGTCCTCCATCGGCCCGGACACCCTGGCCCTCACACTTCCCTCTTCCCAGGCCATCACGATCCAGAGAATCTGTCCGTGAATACGCAGCATCGATATGGCTGAAGGTACGAACGCAGCTTTGGCTGGGAGGCTCTGGTTCTTACTGCTGTTTGTGAGGCCGAGCAGGCTCGATTCATGAGCCCTTCCTGTGTGGGGTTCTGCCCCATTTTCTCTCCTCAAGAACCCGGCATCAATGGCTTTCTTGGAGGCTTCGTCCTAGAAACAAACATGCACAGTATGCAAAGCAGCCGGGCAGACTCTGTCCAAAGGGTGAGTTGCCTGCACGACGCACTGTGTCGATGGCAGTGAGTGACATGGAGAATCGCATCTGGAGAGGACGAGGGTGCTCCGAAATAACGGCTGTTGTCTCTCTAGACCCTGGGCTGTGTTGAAGCTGCGCTGGGAGAAGCCGCACAGCCTGCAGCCGAGATGAAGAGTCTCGAGGAAACCCAGGGTGCTCCTGCAGTCAAGTACCGCAACCAGCCGGGCCAGCCCGCCTCCCAGTCCAATCACCCTCAACCAGAATCCGACCGAGCCCAACATGGGCCTACCGATCCCTGTTCAGCCTCGGCTTCGGCTTCGGCGGCCCTGGCCAGGGAGAGCAAGCTCAGGGCCCGCGATTACATCGCCAGGTATCGAGCAGCGCCCCTCCCACCTGAGTTTCATATTCGCGGTGCACTCGTCCCTCGTTCTGCTTCCTGCGGTGTCCGACAAGGAATAGCGACCAGCTCCATCCCGAGCCCCCTCCCTCTCCGCACCACAAGTGATCCGTCGCCTTGGCTACCGACCCGCTGCTGTCTGGCAAAGGGGTGTGTGGTTATGGATACTAACGCCCCACAATCGCTGACTCCAACGATTGCAAATGCCAGCTCGTGCAAGATCCGTCCCGCCTCGCCCACGCAAAACACCACGCCAGACATCAAAGGGCCGCCGCATGCCGACCACATATCGCGTAACGTCAGCGGGACGACGCTCTTGTCATATATCGCCAGGGCCAGCAATGGCACATCGGATCTCTGCGAGCTGTACCACAAGACATTCGCCAAGATCCACTCGCAGTCGAGCCACCCGGCCGGGCTGGTCACGGTGGTGTCGGCGATCGCCACGGCCCAGTCGATCCTGACCCCGCAGATCATCGCCGATGTGTTTGGACTCGAGATCGGCGTCGTTCGCGAGTGTCTCAAGAGCCTCAGTCTGGTCCTCGATCCTGGCGCCAATGGATTGGGTCCCCGAGGCAGCCGGTCCACCAACACCGAGGTCAAGTTCAACCACAAGTCGGTGGCGGACTATCTCCTCGGCGATGCATCGACTGGCCATCCGTGGCATGTGTCGACCTCGTTCCACACGGTGTTTGCCCAGGGATGTCTCGGCGTGATCCTCTCGCACGAGCCAGTGATCAACATCTGCGATATCTTCGACTTTCACGACAATATCGCCGACCTCGAGGACAGGGTCGCAGACAAGATCACACCGTCGCTGCGATACAGCGTCGCCCACTGGATCACACACTTTGTGTGGTGTGTGGAAGGAGTGGCCGAGTCGAGTCCGGTGTGGCAGTCGGTCGAGATGGTCGATGTGGCAGCGGTGCTCACTCGGTTCGTCAAGACACATGTGTTCTTCTGGCTCGAGTGTGGGTCGCTCACACATGTGGTCAAGCCGATCATCGAGCAACTGGCTGTGCTGCGAGGAGTGATCGTCAAGGCACCCAGCACCATCGTCGACGACACCACGAAGGAACTGGTCAAGGACACGTATCGATTCATCCGCGAGTTTGCCGATCCCGTCATCAAGAGCGCACCACAAGTGTACAACTCGGGGTATGCATTCACACCGAAGGAGACGGCGATCTACAAGACATATGCCGACCAGCTCGAGGACAAGATCCCGTTCCTGGTCACTTGCGGTCCAGCACCCACCTGGGACCCGTGCGAGATGACACTCACAGGTCACTCGAGCCAAGTGAACTCTGTGGCAATCTCACCCGACGGTAAGTGGGCCGTCTCGGGGTCAAAGGACAAGACCATCAAGGTGTGGGATGCTACCACTGGCCAGTTGAAGCACACCCTCGAAGGGCACACAGCGGATGTGACCTCGGTGGCGATCTCACCGGACGGCAAGGCAATTATCTCCGGCTCTAGCGACAAGACCATCAAAGTGTGGGATGCCACCACTGGCCAGATGGAACGCACCCTCGAGGAACACACAGGCGCTGTGAACTCCGTGACGATCTCACCCGATGGCAAGTGGATTGCCTCCGGTTCCGGCGACAATACAATCAAGGTGTGGGATATCAACTCGGGCCAAGTGAAGCACACTCTCAAGGGGCACACAAGTAATGTGAGCGTCGTGGTTATTTCATTCGATGGCAAGTGGATTGTCTCGGGCTCCGCAGATGAAACCGTCAGAGTTTGGGATGTCGCCACGGGACACCTGAAGCAAAGCATCCAAGGCCTGGGTGGGGCAGTCCTCTCGGTCGCGATCGCTCCAGACAGCGAGTCGATCATGGTCGGAATTGATGGCGAGACGTTGAAAATATGGGATGCGGTTGCCGGAGAGGTTAAGCATAGCCTAGATGTCGCGGATGCCGCTCTCACCGTCGCAGCCTCGCTCGATGGCCAAGTGTTCGTGTCGGGTACCGGGGATGGTTTCGTCAGGGTCTGGGATGCCGCCACGGGACAACTAAACTGCGAATTCCGAGATCACTTGGACAGCGTCAGCTGCGTTGCCCTCAGTCGCGATGGCGAAACCGTCATTTCCGGATCAGGCGATACCACCGTCAAAATCTGGTCACTGCAGCACGGACGCGCAAGCAAGGCGAGAGACGAGCACATCGGCAATGTCTTTGCCCTGGCCATATCCGCGGATGAGCGCACAATCGTCTCGGCTTTTGACGACGGTACAATCGTGATCTGGGATGCTCTATCGGGAGCTATCAAGCAGAAGCTTCGAGGCGGACCCGGAAGTGTATACACCGTCGCCATCGCCCCCGACATGCACTGGCTCGCTTCTGGCTCGGACGACCGAACCATCAAGATCTGGACGCCAGCCGACATCGGGCCCAAGCAGATCCTCAAGGGACACCGCCACCCAGTCATCAACATCATGGTATCGGAAGACGGCCGTGAGATTCTATCCCAAGATATTTCGGGTCACGATCTCCTTTGGCGCCTCTCCGACGACGGATTCGTCCTCGCCGAGGGCTCGACCACCAAATGGGCAGACCAAGGAAATGGCCTCTATCGACAGCCCAGCCAGAGTCTGTGGAGACAGCCGCGCGATGCAGTGGCAACCCAGTGGATCGAGCACGGACAGCATCGGGTCTGGCTGCCTCGCAAGTTCCTGAACTGGAACAAGCGCATCATCGGAGCCAACGGCAGCCTCTATATGGTTGATCGACACGTCACTGCTCTTGGCGTAAGTATCCCGCTGGATCTGGGACCAGATGAATCCCATTTCACTAATACTCAGCCACCCTTATAGACTCGCGGGCTCGCTGGGAGGGTGAGAGAGCAACGCGCGCAAACCAGCGAGTCGCCTGGCATCGAGACCTCGCCCTCATAGCGATTGCGCATTTACTTGCGCGAGAATACAAAGAAACAGCGATAATCAAGGGTCAAATGGAGGGAAAATGCGATGGATGCAAGCCATGGCTCAGAAGCGACATATTTAGAAGGGGTGTCGTCCCCGGATGGCAGTCAGTTGAGCCTGTAGTCCTCTTGACGGAGGCGACCATTCAGGAGTGCCTCGAGCCAGAATAAAAGATTGACATGAAACACCATATGCACACAGCATGTCTTCATGTGCCATGAACCCACACCTCCAAGATGGGCGGCCCACTCGAAACGCAATTCTCCCACAGGCAAACGCATCAGCCAATAGGAAGTATATTACCGATAGGACAGGGCAGAGCAGGACAGGACGGGACATCCAGGGCTCATCCCAATCCCTTTGGCGCGCTGTACACTCGTCCAGCGGAATGGCAGATGCCCCGAGAAGCAGCTTGATTGGGGCTTGATTGGAGCCTGGAACAGCGGGCTTGGCGAAGGCAAATACCGGGCGATTTTCGTCCCCGTTTGAGCTCCTGAGAGTTGTTCCGTCTGGCAGGCCATTCCACCCCGTGGCCGTCAAAGAAGCGTCGACAGCGGCGTAGAATCCTCTCGGCACAGATCCGGAGGCATACTCGTGCAATCGTCCTGGATTGCGGGCAGGACACCATTTCTCTGCTCCAAGGCAGCAACACGTTTGCAAACAGCCGTCGCAATCACAGCGTCAGAGGTGCGTCGATGCTTGGTGTCCTGGCCGGCTGTCGCTTGTCCCGTCCGTCACTGCCGGGTTTCCACGCCGCAATCCCAGACAGGGTGATAGGCTGTACTGGCTATCAAACGGATGCCCGAGGGAAGGATGGCACCTTCCCCCCTCCTCCCCGTAGAGTTTCTCGTCGCTGGGAATGCGAGTTCCAGATGCTCACCACCCGCTGGCGACCACCCGGTCCAATCTGTGACTTCAGATTTGTTCTGTCGTGAGCAACACGACAGCCTCCGTCCACCATCCGCTTGCCTCGATCGCCGGCTGGCCATCAAGCCGAGCGCATCGCTCGCCATGAGCACCAGCATACTCCAGCGGGCCGAGATTTTCGCCTTCGTTGTCTACATCATTGCCGCCAATCTCGCGCTTCACTGCACCAAGTTTGTGAAATGGGAACGTGCACTCGATCTGCGTCAAGGGCTCCAGATCCACAGCTTCATGGCCCTCACCATTCTGTTCTCGGCCCTGTACTGCATCGCGAGCCAGCTGCTCATGTTTGATCCCTGCACCTCCGATCCGGGCTGCTCGCAGCTCGCCAGCTACATGTTTGCCGTGAGCGACAGCGTCGGCTCCACTTCGATCGGATGGGCGTACATTCTTCGTCTTCGGGTCATGACCCTTAACAACGAGCCAATGTATGCATGGCTCTTCCTCTTTGGACTCATGCCGCTTGCGTATAGCGTCAACGACATCTACTTCATCCTTAGTACGTACGGCGTCATCTCCTCAGCACAATCAGCGTACTACAACTTTGTCTTCAATCTGGCACTGGAGATCAACATCGGCTGTCTGCACATCCTGATGATGTACCGGCTCTACCACCTGAATGCCTCGATCCGAATTCTGCGGACTGGATCGAGCCGCACCACGTCGGCCAGCGACAGCACAGGGCGGCAAAGTGACGACATCGAGAGCGTTCAGCGCGAGGGCATTGTGCTCATCGTTGCCATCGCAACGGAGCTGGCCCTGTATCTGGGCTTTCAGGTCTACACCCAGTTTGACTCGACGGGCCTGATCGGGAATGCCGTCTGCGTATTCCTGTGGGTCTTTGATACTTTCATATTCTGCGTCGTTAACGGCTTCATTGCTCGGCTCATCAAACTGTCGACGAGCCGCTCGGCCGTCCGCGAATCACCGATCCTGAGTTCAGATCTGCCTGGATCGCCCTCATTCTCGAACCAGGCAAAGTCCCTGGAGGCCGCGAGCCCGCCGTTGCGGATCATCATGCTCGGCTCCCACGACTCGGACTCTTGTCGCAACCTCCTTCCTGAGATCGTCTAGGCCAGCCTCGAATGTGTCCTCGAACAAATCCGTGCCACTGCTGCTGTTCCCTGGATCGGATTCCTTGCAATAAACCCTGGGCTGGTCCAGCATTGGAGTGCCGATCATCCTGGAGGCTCCTCATCCCACCGATCTCGACAGCGCGCCTTGATTTGGCCGACGACAGGCCTGATGCTTGGCGGCGATATCGGCGCTGCAGCCAGCAAAGCCAATGCAGTTTCAGATGTGTATTGTTGAATATTGGGCGACGAGCGAAGCGCCCTTGCTTGAGGCTCCGTTGCGGTGTTTTCATATCTCGGTGTCCCGGAAGAACTCGGCCTGGTCCTCGGCGATCAGCCGAAGCGTCGAGCGGATCTCCCTCAAGAGAGTCTCTGGTTTCAGGAAGCAGTACGTAAATGCCCGCACGACGCATGGGCGATGGTACATGAGCCCCGGGGTTATGAGCCGCCGCTGGCTACCATTGCAACGATGGGCATCGTTGGGACACAGGCTTTGGAGGCCGCCAAACGACCGCCGCACCGATTACATTGGACCATTGACAAATCGACAGTCGGCAATCGCCTGGTCCACGTACCTCCCTGGAGCACAGACGCCTCGAGCCTCCTGCCAATCTCCTGATTCTCGACCTCGAGCTCCTGTATCTTGTGAATCTGCATCGTGCGGTCAATGTCAGTACCAGCTCGCATCTGGAAAGCCAGGACATTTCGTCTCGTATCGGGGCATCCAATGTCGGTGAGATGAATCTATGGCTTCAAGCAGCGGGACAGCCAGAATCACATACTTGCTGCTCCTCCGTCTGTGTGATTCCCGGCAGCTTGTCAATCAGATAGTCGATCACCCGGCTCGTTTCCACAATGTCTTTCGCCATCTCCTTGGCCGACGCTAGAGGCACCGAGAGTTGGGCAAGGGTAAATCAATACAGGTCCATTCTCGCAGAGCTGCCAAGCATCAGCCTGCTATATCCGATATCTGCTCAGCATGCCGCCAACAGTCCATGTGCCCTTCTTCTTGATCCCAGTCCCGATCCCGGCTCCGGTCCCAGTCGCTGCTTCGCGGGATCGACACTTGCTCGTCGTCCAGATCACCAGCAGAGTAAAAGCAGGCGTACCTGTCAGGTCCTGCTTGCGCTGCTGGATTTGCTCCTCTGGTAGTTACAATTGATGCGTTGGGAGGGATTGCGGGAATCGGTCAGCCAGAAACAGGATATCTTTGTTTGACACACCGCCAAACCACTCTTCACATTGCTTCTGGAGCAGCATCTTTACGAGGACCTGATGTCGCAGGTTGCGACCGGGACCACACCACTCTCGTCAATCGTCGCCGAGCATACCCGTCCATGCAGTCACAGGGATGTCTGCGGAAACCTGGAGCAGCGGTGCGTCTCGCTGCAGCACACCGGTCGAAGTGTAGAGGATTTGTGTGATCTGGTAGCGAAAGGTCAAGCACCGAGTCAGCGTTCGGCCGATCGAACAGGACCATTGCTGGTAGAGACGGCCTTCTGGTCCTGCGACTCTCTCGGGCCGAGGAATCGAACCTTGTCGACCGCTTCTTGGAGCTGTGTGAGGCGGCCCATCGGATGGGGCTGAGATCGAGGTGAGAGGCAGTGATCGGGGCTGAAAAGCGCGGCGCTCGGTCCGCTCACCTTTCTGTCTTCTCTTCCATCATCACCGATGCCCGAGCGCCATCCTTCGCTCAGATGCATCAGCCCGTCGAGCACCCCCGCATCCCTGTTGACACCGTCTGTCTCTCGGCCGTCGACACCCCCCATCCACGATCCATAGCGCTTGCCTCGGACCGTCCACGGCGCTCGTCCTCCCCGGCTGGCCTGGCGCTCTTTGGCTCAATCCTGGACCGATGCCCACCCGAGATCCTGGCCCATGTATGCGAATTCCTCGTCCAGAGGGACATGTACGCTCTGGCGCTGGTGTCTCGTCGGCTGCATCAACTGACGACGCCGTGCCTGATGGCTCGTCCCCGGCTTCGATCGATCGAGCAGCTCGTCAAGTTTGCTGCGACGCTCGAGTGCATCCAACATCTGTCCACCCCGGCTGGCTCGACTGATACCAGAGGCCGATATGCCCACTGGGCCGAACACACCCGGCTGACGCATTACATCCTGGCCAGTCTGTATTCCCTCGATCTATCGGCCCTGGTCGGCGCCAAGTCCAAGCTCACTCCGCAGCTTGTGTGTGGCCTGATCGCCTCCACGCTGATCCACACATCAAGCCCCCGGCCAGCCTCGGCCCTCAAGTCGCTCAATCTCGCGGACGCATATCTTCTCGATTCGCAAACTCTCGCCTCCATCATCGACATGTGTCCATCCCTCGTGCACCTGAATCTCATGGGCTGTCGCGTGGACATTGTCAACGATGCCTTTCTCCAAACCATATCGGAAAAGTGCCCCAACCTGCGCTCGCTGTTGATGGATGGGTGGGCTACTTCGGGGCGGGGAGTCGCCCATCTCATGATCAACAGCCTCTATCTGTCCGAGTTGCAAGTATCACCGCGGCTCCAAAACTGGGATGAGGCAAGAGCCCTCTTCAGCTCAACTTTAGACCCAACCACTCGCTCCGCCGCCTTGGAATCGTTGACGATCCGAAAGATCCCAATAGCAGTTCGCAGCAGGCGGTCCGACCAGCCCGTCGCCATGGCCCTGGCTGCCCTGCTAGAGTTCTTTGGGCGGAATCTCCGACAACTATCGCTGGAACATCATCACGATCTACCCGACCAAGAGTCATGGCAAGCTCTGCTCGCGATGGTACCGAGGTTGCATACCCTGAGCTTCCGACACTCTAAAATCTCGGAGGGATATCTGGCGCTTCTCATCCGACTACTCCGGGATTCTGCAGACTCAACATCGCACGGTCGCTCACCACAGTCGATCCGACTCGGCAGCTGCGGCCTCGAAGACATGCACGCCCTTGGGCTGCCATCGGCCCAGCTCGAGTTTGTCCAAGAGCTGGATCTCTCAGGCAATCCCCGACTCTCCAACAGGGCCACCATAGTCATCCTTCAGCACTTCCCGTGTCTGCGGTCCCTCAACCTCAATGGCGTGACGCTTTTGCCATACGCCGCTGCCCAGCTTGTGGAATGCTGTCCGCTGTTAGAATCCCTCGTTGCTGGTAGCAAGCGGCAGAGCCTCAGGGATCTGTCCGTGTGGGTGCACACCCACCGCCCAAGGCATCTCGGTGAGCTTTGGCTCTCGATTTCTTACCAAGACTGGGATGAAGTTTTGGACGAGACTTTGGACCAGGCCGCGAGTGCAGATGGCCCGCTTCGCCGGGAAGACCTCGACTTGATCACCGATCTTGCCACCGCTGTGGAATCCCTCAAAGCAGTTCACTTGAAGATCTCAGCCTTGGAGGCGTGTGCAGAGACAGAGGCTGTATTTCCCGCCTCACTCCGGACCGACCGGCTGCGGAGCCAAACACTTGTGCTTCCACCAAGCGCTGGCAGCCGGAAAGTGGCTCTCGACATTGAGTACCAAGAGCTCTGAGACAGCCCCAGCCATCGCCCGGGATTGCTTTCGATTCGGATGAGCACGGCTGGTTATCCCGCCAGTGATTTTTGAACCCCAATACATACGATCGTGTGGCCATATCGATGAGATGAACTATATTGACAGGTCCACGAATGGCGGTTCTGTTTTACTTCAGCTCCGTCCTCGGCGACGCTTGCTCCATTCCCTACGTTTACTTTCAGTCCCTGACATCACCACGAATGCAATCATCTTGTTTCGGTGGTCGTCAAGGACGACCACGGGCCTCCCTCGCTGCCAAAAAGCACACCGAATGGACGAGCCCGCGCCGATCCAGCTCAGGCAGCGGTGCCTGTGGTGGTCTGTGGCTGGATGCGGTTGTTACGCCCAGAAGGCTCTCTGTTTCTCGGCACCTAGATCCTGCGAAGTTGCGGTGGGGGCTCGAATTCCGGGATCAGACCGAATTGGAACTGGTTGCTGCGGAAAGCTGCTTCGGCTTCGGGTGTGAGCTCTGCTGGAAGAGCTATGGCCTCGGAACGAGGCAGTGCGGGTGCTGCCGTGCTTCCGAATGCACCACCCGATGGCTGGCCGAACGCGGAGGGCGGACCAGATGTGCCCGTTGCAGGCACCGCCCCGAACGTACTTCCGGACTGGCCAAAGGCCGGTGCAGTGCCAAATTGGCCAAATGCACTTGTCTTTGCAAAAGCTGAGCCCGGGGCACTCGCATTCGCCGCACCAAGAGCACTGGGCTGCCCAAATGCGCTGGCTTGGCCAATGTTGCTTGTCTGTCCAAAGGTGCTTGTTTGCCCAAAGGCGCTAGGCTGTCCCAATCCACTTGGCTGTCCAAAGGCATTTGTGACGCTCGGCGCACCGGCTTGAGCGAATGCGTTCGTCTGGCCTAAGGCACTTTTTTGCCCAAAGGCGCTGTTTTGGCCGAGTCCCGATTTCTGTCCAAAGACACCAGTCGATCCCAGCCCGCCACCGAATGCGCTCTTTTGTCCAAAGGCGCTGTTTTGACCGAGGGCTCCGGCTTGGCCAAAGGCTGATACCTGGCCAAAGGCGCTTCCAGAGCTCGGCGTGCTTGCCTGGCCAAAGACGGAGGGCTGTGCGAAGCCGCTCTTCTGCCCAAAGGCATTCGCTCCTGACGGGTTGTTGCCAAAGACGCCGGCGCCCGGAGGCTTGCCAAATGCCGAGCTGCCTTTGGGTGCTGGCGAAACTTGGGACTTGAAAACTTCGAGAGCCTGTTGCGGGTTGCTGACGATCTGTTGTATGCTCTGCTCCAGATAGGCTGTCCGCTGGGCGATTCCTTGAAGCTGCCATGCAATTCCACAGCGGAAGCGAGTTAGAATCCGAACGAGGGCCTCATGCCACACAGCGCGGCGGGATAGATCCGATGGCGATACGCACGTATTGGGAGACTTGACCGCCCGTCGCTCGTCTTTCGGCCTCGTATTCCCAGCGTGCTTCTTCGGGACTCCAGTCTGTGCCCGAGAGGAGTGAGGGTTGGTCTTTCAGCGGACCGTAGCAGCTGAAGATCCAGGTTTTTGAGGGATTGTCGGATGTTTGTCTGTTGAAAAGCTCATCGTTGACTTTGGCAAAATCAATCGTCTCGCCATTGATGCTGCTGAGGACGCATCGGCACGCAAGGTGAACGATCCCAATATCCACCAAAGTGTTGCAGTTAGCTTCCCATGCGATGACGGAGAGTAGCGATGGTGCTGGAGATTACAGATGATGGCATCGACACAAACGACGACGGCGATACAGATGATTGCCGACGCTATGCAACAATCCGTGTACAGCCAACGAGATTGTCCATATATCAGAGAGCACTTGGATGATGGATCGACAGCAGCCCAGAGAAGTGGAAGGAAACAGGGGCAATTTGCTAGAGACACGAAACGACACATACGTTGTCGTTGACTGCAGAGCACCAAACCGGTTGGAGGAGCCGCCGCCGAAGCCCTGTGAATCTGGAAACCGCAGCGACACCAGCCAGAGTCGTCAGTCGATATGATGGGCAGAAGATGCGCCGAGGGTATGCATGTCGAGGCATTGCGAGCGACTGCGGATGCGTGAGGGAATAGCTGCGGATGCGATCGCTTGGGGCACAAAGCATGTCCATCACCCGCATGTCGATTCTTCGGCCATGGCTGTCCTCAGAGACTTACTTGGGGCCGGGCTGGTGTGCTTGTTGCGACAGCGGGAGCCGAACCGGCAGCCGCCCGGGGAGTTGAAGAACTTGCAGATCTGCTGGCTCATGGCGGCTCCGCGAGATCAGGGCCAAGACAGGCGGGGCCGCTGGCAGGAAGGTCTGGCGACATCCAGCCCCAAGAGGAGCCAGCCGCTCGCCCGTCTGTTCGCAGGCTTGCTGTCCTCCTGCCCCTGCATCGCCCTTACATCGCCCGGCATCGCCCTGCGATCGTCTGCCTGCCATGTCGATTGCCCGGCTCTGCGTCGGCAACAGAGCCCTCGGGCTCCACCGTCTCGGCCCAAGCCCACCCCAAGGTGCTCTGGCCCTGCACTTTCTGTCCATCCCCGCAGGACGGGCAGGTTGCATCGCCAGACCCAGCAGCATCGGCATCTTCGCCAACGCAACTCCCCGCCGATCCACTTCATCAGCGTCTTCGCCCGATCCACAGTCCCCGCCGCCGTCGCCCCCAGAGCCCAACTCGGAGTACATCCTCAATGTCGGCGACGCCATTCGGATCCTGCGAGACACCCTGCCCAGGTTTTTCGCCCACGGTCTGCAGCATCCCGAGCTCTACGCTAGCAATGTGGCATTCTCGGAGCCATACCACACCCGCATCAAGATCAAGGGCAAAGGAAACTACATGGTGCTGGCGCAGATCGTCCGCTACATGGCCATCTGTCTCTTCGACTCGCCCCGGTTCGATATCCACCGCATCCAGCAAATCCGCGAGAGCGACCTGGTCGACAGCCTCTCGCCGACGTTGGCAGGCCGGGACAGCTCCGAAGCCCCGGACCAGGCCGATCCTGGCCAGTTGGGCGAGCCCGATTCGATGCTGGTGCGCATCCGATGGGTCTTTGAGGGCATCCCCCGGCATCTCCTCTGGCTCAGTGCCTTTGACTACGTCAACACCCCGCGGACGGTCTACGAAGGCGTCTTCGTGTATGGCTTTGACCGAGAGGGCCGGATTGTGCTGCACCAGCTGCAAGGCATCCATCCTGTGCCTCCGTTTATATCGGCCTACCGCTGGTTCAGTCTGCGGACCAGGTCCTCTCTTGTTACGCCGGATCTCAACGCCTTTGTCGACATCAAATCCAAGACAGCGCCCTGTCCGCTCCCGGTCCGCAAGAGTACTCCCGACGACAGGAGCCCCAAGAATCCCACGAGCTGAATGCGGGTTGAGCCAAGCAAGGCATCCCGGGTGCGGCTGCAATTCAATCATCGGAGCTCCTGCATGTTTCTGTTCTTCTTCTTCATCCCCACCACCATCGGCGCCGTACCAACGTCTTCACCGCCAGTGCCTGATCTCGGCCTAATACATCATTGGTGCGATTGATGCGGTCGGCGTGATAGTTCCAGCTGCGGTCGGTCCATGTCGCTGTTCAGAGAGGCCATTCATCGACTCAGCCGGCTGCAGCCCACAAGCACCCACAAGCATCCCCATGCATGGCAGTGCCAGCAGAAGCATTGCGCGTTGAGCATCGATCTCTGGCAGCATCGATCTCTGGGAGCATCGATCTCTGGCAGCAGTCCATCGCCCAAGCAGATCCAAACCAGCAAACCAGCGACCGCCAGCAGAGAGCACGTGGCCGCCTGGCTTTCCAGCAGCAACGCCTTCCTGCCTGCCTGCCTGCCTGCTTGACTCTGCTTGCCTGCTCCTGATTGCACTTGTCTCCAATCTCGATATTGCCGGCGACCACACCCGCCCGTGATCTTGGCCTGCACGTAGATCCGGCGCCGTCTCCGCATCGACCTTTCTCCCTGCCTCTGCCATCCCATCGAACCAAACGTGCTGGATAGGGAGCTCGCCATGAAGAGCTTGTCGCTTCTCGGGCTATGTGAGTTGATATGGCGACGCCCCTGCCCGCATCTGTCTATGCGGACATCCATCTGTGTCAATGCTATCGTCATATACGCCTGGCCACGGCCAAGCCACAGTCGGTATTGCCCTGAGTTGGGTACTTCTAGCTGACGCTGATCGACCCACATCCAGATGTCCTCGGACTGTTACTTGCGCTCGTCGCTCTGTGCTGTGCGAGCGATCAGGTAATGCTGATAAGTCACCCATGCAATCCTTAGCCATGGATGGGCGGGTCTGATGCCCGAAAACCCCGGTGACTGACTCATTGTCCCCCGCTGATATATCGGCATTCACAGGATGCCATTCCCCCCAGCGATGCTGTCGGTCCCGTCCACGATCAAGGTATGTGCACCTTCACAGGAATGCCGAACGGGTGTTCGACCACTCCTGCATTGCCTTTCAGCACTCACTAAGCATCGAACGTTGCTTCAAGTAGATGTCGCCACTCGCCTGTATCTTGCGGCCTTGGAGACACTTCGGCCTCTGGAGCCTCCTCCGCCATCCGCTTCCTCAGGAACACACAAGGACTCAAAAGCCGCCAACGGCCTGCTTACGAGCATCTATACGAAGCCCGGCTACCACAGCGATCGCTTGGGGCTGCTCCTACCTGAAGGATTGACCGATCCGCAGTCCATCGACGACCTCGTTCGCGCTTCGGGGCTTCAAGAGCCCCTGGCCAGCAAACAGAGGGCCCTCCTCCAGCTTCAGTGGTCTGCTCGGTCTGGCAGCGCCGACGCATGTCTCACCGTCGCCGACACTTATCTGGTAGGGAGTCGCCGGGGCTCGAGGTGACAGGCTCGCTGCGCTTTAATAAGCCTTCGCGGCTGGTTAAGCCTCTCAACCTGAGGAATACTCTGACCCAATGGCCTCCTCCCCCATCGGTCGTAGTATGGAAAATACGGCATCAAGGCGAACTCCACGATCGCATATCGGTACTACTCGCTTTTGGGCCATCACTATGGCAACGCAACTGGCCAGAGGATGCTGGGACTGATGCACGCCACGGGCATGGGCCAACCTTCATGGGCAAAGGAAAAGGAACGCTATGCCAAGGTAGGCTGCTCGCGATACGATCCTGCGGCAACATGGGAATTACCTCGATGCTGGAAGGTGCCCGCTGCCACTCCTGACCCCGGCGGCTTATCCACATAGGCGCAACTGTATATGAGCTTTGCGGCCATTGGAGGCGATAAACTCGCAGACCAAGTGCTGGGCTACTGGCATCTCATCGGCGCTGGAACTCCAAAGAACTGCTCCGAGGCAGCCTGGTACTATGAACGTGTTGCTGGTCGAGGTACGTTGTGCCAGCGAGTGCAGATAGGCTCGAGATATGAGGGTGCAGAGCGGGCGACGCTTTGCTGCACAGCGACTCCTCGGGCGGGCACTTTGGCTGGCGATTTTGCTAACATGACCGAACCCGTGTCTCGGCCACAGCCCTCGAGACCTTTTTGGACGGCCCGCCACTCGGTCGAACGCTGCCGCCGTATAAGGACTTTATCCCAGAGGGCGAGGGGGGCATTTACGGCGTTGGGTCCATGGACACTTTCGCAAAGAACTCTCACAGTTCGAGCGAAAAGGTCGATGTCATTCTTCAATACTACAAGTACGAGGCAGACAACGACAACATTGAGGCAATGGTTCGTTGACCACCGATGAAAAGGCAGCTGCAGTGTTGATCGTATCGCTTGCCTGTGGTAGCAGCGTACTGATTCTAATGCCTATGCTCGATCACAAGTTTCATCTGGGTCAGATCTACTATGACGGTCATGTGGTTACTCGAAGCTACCACACCGCAATGCTTTACTTCAGCAAGGTCATCAAGCATTACAAGGCCGTGATTGACACGTACAAGCGGAACGGCGTATCCACCAAGGACCAGGAAAAAGCGAACCTGTCCAAATTCGCAGCGGCATCCGCCGGATATATCGGGTTGATGCACTGGCGCGGAGAGGGTGTCCCGCAAAGCGACAAAAACGCCCGCGCGTGGTTCGAGAAGGGGGCCACGCTCAAGTCCTCGCTGTGTCTCTATGCCCTCGGCCTAATGAAGCGCGATGGCCTCGCAGGATTTGAAAAGGTAGTGGGGCCGAGTCAACTGCGCCTGATATGCGACGCGGCTGATCACGTATCTGTCAGTGACGAGGCAATCAGCTCGTCAGCAGGTGGTATTTTGCGCTGAGTGAAATGGCGCATTGTCAACTGACCGTCAATGACCCCGTTGTCGATGGTCCCACACTACATCTATGCCCAACCATCTTTGCAGGATCTCGAAGAGGCCAAGAAGCTGCTGACCGAAGCCGCAAAGGAAAACAGTGGCGCACAGTACGAAGTCGGAGCGCTTGCCATGGGTATGATACGATGTCATCGCATATGCAAACGCTGAATGCACTCCGTGTGCACACTCCACCTTCTGGCGTCAGCGCACTTGCCCATCTGTTAATATGCGACTTGCCCACGTCTGCCCGCAGCCGAAGACAACCATGTCAGTGCTTTTACATACCTAAGCCTGTCCGCTAAGAAGGAGAATCTCCGGGCATTTTTCCAGCTTGGTCGGATGTACAACCGAGGGCTTGGCGTCCCCGCCGCAGACTGCCAGCTCGGAGTCGGGGTAGGCATTGCAATGTGTCCGAGGCCGTTGCGAGCACGCACATGGTGGTTGCTCTGGCATGACTAACGAACCCGTGGTTGTGCGGCCCCTGCAGTACCACAAGCTGCTCTCCGAGCGGGCCGACTGGGAAACCCCGATTGTCTACGAGGCATACCAGCGCTACGAAGTGGGCGATATTGAAGGTGCTCTATCGCGGTACCTGATTGCCGCCGAACTGGGATATGAGGCTGCCCAGGTGAATGCTGCGTGGATAATTGACCGAGGTGAGTGTCCGCTCTGCAACGTCGTCATGGCCAGCGCCAGCGCAATTGCCGGTTTGGCCGCACGCGATCAAAGCAATGCTGATCGACGGGACTGTCACTGACGCTGTTAAATCAATCGAAATGGCAGGGATCTATGAGTTTGAAGACTCGGGCCTCTTCCCCGCCGATGCGGATCCCTGGAAAGTGGGTCTGGTGCTGTGGAGTCGAGCCGCCAACCATCCGGCTCAGTATAATAGCCCAGCTCGTGTCAAAGCTGGTGATTACTACTACCTGGGCCTCGGCACCGACACCGACGTCAGGCCACAGCCTCAGCGGAAGAGTACACATGAAGAGCCCCCTGCCGACGAGACTTCCACCAAGAAGCAAATTGAGCCAGCCTCCGAGGACAGCGCGGCAGATGACGACTCCAACAAGCCTCGTGCCCGCGACGCCGCTTCCAAGATCGACCTATTGGATCGCTTCGAGGGGCAGTTCCTGGATCTTCTCGCGTCGTGGTATCGCTACCTGGTGACCAAGCCGATGTGGATGAACAAGCGCGGACGGCCCGACTACCAACGAGCGGCGCTGTACTATCAAGTGGCCGCCGACATCGAGGCCAGTTCTGTCGCGATGTTCAATCTGGGCCGGATGTACGAGTGCGGCATCGGCGTTGAGAAGGTACGCAGATGCTGTTGCGGCGCCCTGCTTCGCATTGGCCGACACTTTTCGAGTTATGCAAGACTCGGTTGTATGACTGCAAACGCTGTGCGCGGATCGAGACATGTGCGATGGAGTTGCTCGAGCTGCAGAGACTCATGCTTCTGTTTGCACAGGACTATCATCTTGCCAAGCGATACTACGACCGTGCAATGGATACCAACCCGCATGCGTACCTCCCTGCCACTCTGGCGCTGATGAAGCTCCGGCTCAAGATGCTGTGGGCGGCCTTCTTCGACCCCACCATGGTTGAGCGTCCTCGCGAGCCCGAGGCCCCGCCGGTGCAAGAGGTGGCTCCCAAAGTCGAGATCTTTGACTTTGACCTGGGCGACGGAGCCGTCGACGACAATGAGCAGGGCCACGCCGGATTTTCCTTTGTCGTTGACGCCGAGTCGCTGATCTTGATGGCGTTGTCGGCGGTGGCGGCATTCCTGTTCTACTACCGAGCGGTTCTCGGTCTGCGTGCTATCGACCAGGCACGCAGACCTCCACAGGGCCAATAGAGGCGAGGGCCAGAGTCCTCCGATGCCACGATCCTGGCTAGTGCGGAGGTGACTGTGGGCTGTGGGAACGCTCGATGAGCCCAATGATCTGACTTTGTGGTGATGCGCCAAGTACACAACACGACCATCTGATGATGTGATTTCTGGATGTGACGGTTGCAGATGCGATGGTTTCAGATGTGGCCGTTCCGGATCTGACCTTTGCGGATGCGACGGATGCTGAAGTGATGGTTGCAGTGATGGCCGCAGTGACGACCAGCACCCACCCCGTCCGCGCGCAGCAAATGAATCACGTGTATGCTTTTTTCTGTTTCGCGAAACGGCCGTCTTGGGCGATCGGCGATTCACGAAATCGAGCGTTTCGCTGCAAGCCTGCGCCGAAAGCATCAACCCACGTCTCCGCCAGCCGCTATGCCGCGGAGCAAGAAGCAACGAGCGTCTGCGGCCACCGTCGCAAGCCCAATTTCAGCTCGACCTGCCAAAGCTAAGGCATCGACCGTCGACGATCGAGCCGCAAGCATTCTGAGGCAATGCCCACTTTCCGACACCTTTTGCGAGGGCCTGGCCGAGCATCCAGAAAAGTTCCTGATGAAGGACGAGCGGTTCTCGGGCGCCATCATGGCGGCCTCCAAATGGCTCTTTGATTTTGGTACGAGCGCTGCGGCACGGGGGACAGGATGATCCGGTGCATCTGCTGCTGCTTTCTTGGTACATTTGGAGCATGTCGCATCGCTGTGATGCCAGGCGACACCAAAAGGAGATGCCCTCGGAAGCCAAGCGCACTTGGCGCGCTGGAGATTCCAAACGCAACAAGCCAAGTACCGAATATCCGGTGCATCAGCTTGTTTGGTAGAAGTCTGCCACATCGCTATGTGTGCTCTGGCTGACATCTTCCACTCGTCCGGCCTCCCTTCCCCCCACTCGTTTGCGGCGATCAGCCAAACTGTCGGAACCAACCAAGATGAGCCCACTCGACGAGCTCATGATCGATGGATTTGATTCCGAGCAAGTGTGGGAGCAGATCCAGCTCCAGAATGTCCCCATGACTGCGTATCTAAGCGAAAAGGTTCAGACCATCATTGAAAATGGCGATGTTGCAATCGACGACGAAGACGACGAGCTGAGCGACAGTGAGCTCCCGCACATGGAGGAGGACGATGATCTCGAAGACGCTGAAGCCATGGACAGCGACGATGAGTTGGACGGGCTCGAAGATGAAGACGAAGATGAAGACGAGGGCTTTGGCGATGATGGCGATGATGGCGACGAACTGGACGGCGACGAACTGGACGGCGACATCGACCTCGATGAAGAAGGTGACAACGAAGACGCTGATGATGATGAAGATCTTGGTGAAGACTTGGACCTTCCTGTAAAGCACAAGGGCAGAGCTGCCAATGTCCGTCCAAAGAAGCAGTACGAGCAGACCGAGGTGGACGACGAGTTTTTCTCGCTCAGAGAGATGGAGGATTTTGCTGAACGCGCCGAGGCTCGTGACATTCGAAAAGCCGAGCGCTCGGACGAAGAAGACGACGAAGACGACGAGTTTGATATGGGAAAAGGTACATATCGGTCAACAGGATGATGCTTTCCTCAGGCCTTCAGCTTTTGATTGTCCAATGCGTATGGTGCTTCAAACCACTCCCTTGTTCGATGGTTTGAATGCGTGCACTCTGACGATCGTACAATCCCAAACACCATGACCTTGCAACTCGGATTAACAGCCCTCTCGGCTCTTGTCCACCAGATTTCCTAACGCAAGACCCGGACGCGATGGAAGATAGCGAGGACGACAATGACGATCTTGATGATCTCGATGCCTCCAATAGTACGTATGGCGATGCCGTCAACACGGCTGAGCGGCGGGTGGTCACTGATCGACAGGCTCTTTCGAGCACACATTCTGAGCCATGTATTATGTCCGTACCTCTGTCCAGATATCACATACGAAGAGTTCTTTGGTCCACGCGAGACCAAGAAGAAGGTCCATTTTGGGGCGAATGAGGCCACTCGCAAGTCGGCAAAGGGCGATGGCGACAGCCACTCGGCCGCGACCGGGTTCCTGCCCTTCCCCGGTGCCAACCCCAGACAACCCGGGGACGCAGAGGACGCCAAGGCCGCAGAGAACACCGAAGACGCGGAGGACGGCGACGACAACAAGATCACTGCCGACAAAGTCAAGGATCTGTTTGACGCAGCCTTTGATGAAGCTGAGGATCAGGGGCTTTCGACATTTGAGAAGCAGCAGCTGAAGCTGCAGGAGCAGATCAAGGAAGTCGAAGCCGAGGCTCTGGCCGAAAAATCCTGGACGATGCGCGGCGAGGCTGGGTCCAAGACACGCCCCATGAACTCGCTGCTGGAAGAAGAGCTCGATGTCGAATTGGCGGCCAAGCCCGTTCCGGCCATCACGGAAGAGAAGACCAAGAGCCTGGAGGACCTGATTAAGCAACGCATCAAGGACAACCTGTTTGATGACGTCGAGAAGAAGATACCAACCAAGCCCCGCGAGTTTGATCCCAACCGTCGAATCGAGCTCAATGACCAAAAGAGCAGCAGGTCGCTTGCCGAAGAGTACGAGGACGATTACATGCGACAAAAGCAAGCAGCGGCCTCAGGCGGCGCCACGGTAACGGCCAAGGACGAAGCACTGCAGAAGCAGCACGAGGAGATTGATGAGCTGTTCTCGAGCCTCTGCCACAACCTCGACATCCTGTCCAACTGGCACTTCACACCGAAGCGAGCGACGGTCGACCTCGAGGTCCTGCCGTCTGTGTCGGTGCCAGCGATCCAGATGGAAGAGGTTACGCCTGCTGCCGTCTCGGACGCGGCCCTCCTGACAGCCAAGGAGGTCTATGCGGGCCAGGTGGGAAAGAGCGAGGAAGAGAAAACAAGCGAAGACCGGAAGCGCGAGCGCAACAAGCGCAAGGCGATCATGCGCAAGGAAAAGGCCGAGAAAGAGCGCAACCGCAAGATCATGGAGAAGAGCCATCCCGAGAAGATCGACACTGGCAAGCGGGCCAAGGAGAAGGCTGTCGAGTCGCTCATGGGCCAGAAGAATGTGACGATCATTGGCGACGCCTCGAAGCTGAAAAAGGGCAAGAAGAACGTGCAAGCTCGTCTGGTCGAGAAGGGCGGGGCCGTGACCGAGTCCAAGAAGACAGAGCGGGCAGAGAACCTGCGGCTCTGAAGTGCGGTATTGGGGTCGCCTTGCTTATGCCGTTACAGCGGGACACATTGTCACTTTCGGACAACAACACGCCGTGGCTGGATCATATCAGTAGGGTTCACGGGGCAGGCGATGGCGATGAGCGGGAGCGTGTAGTTTGAGGGCCGATCGCATCTGATCATATCTGGTCGCATCTGGTCGCATCTGGTCGTATGGGAGCACATCTGGTCGCATCAGATCGCTCAGAACGCGACCACAACGGCGTCTTTGGCGTCCCTGCCTCGCCACCGCCGCGTCCTGGTGGCAGTGCCGGCCGCTCAGCGCCACCAACAACGCCAGCCCCAGCACAAACAACACCCACCCCCGCCTGTCCGAGGGCTCTTGCTTCTATCGATCCTTTCCAGCGATTCCCTCCGCAAGCAGCGAATGCCAGGTTTCCAACGATCTCCCGCCGCTCGCAGCAGTCCGAGCAGCATCGACCTGATCGCCCCCGCACCCGAGGCTTCCGCCACTCGTCACCCCCATCCGCGAACGATGAAGAAAAACAGGCCCGTCGTCTGGATTGTCTCGGTTGTGGCCGTCGTCTGTGTGCTTGCTGGGGCCGGTATCGGCCTCTGGTATGGCGTCTGGGGCGGCCCAAAGGGTGCCAGCAGCAGTAGCCCGTCCTCGCCAAGCCCGACCAGCACTGTCGTCGAGTTTGCCGACCAGCCCACCGGCTACGAGCTCTACAACCCGAAGCGGGCCAAGCTGCGGTTCAACAAAAACGGAAGCTTCAAGATAGCAACCTACGGCGACCTGTAAGTGCGGCTGCCGGGTCGCGCTGTGTGCAGGACAAACTGCCCCCCGAGGCTATGCGAGGCCGTCTCGTTGCTGCATCTATCGTCCGCCGGCCATGCCACCAACCCAATCCCCTGTCCGCCTGTTTGCACATCCTCCGGGATTGGATACTGGATATTGGATAACTGCGGCCGCTCAGCCACTACGGCGAGACGCCGTCGACAGCCTGGGGCCCGCTGCAAGACGCCTCTTCGACCGGCGTCCTCGAGGCGGTTCTGCTCGCAGAGAACCCCGATTTTTCGATCTACATGGGCGACCAAATCACCGGCGAGTTCATGTTGTAAGTTGGATGGCTGTTGGAGAACCGCAACATGTGGCTGCCTGTTGTTCGCACACGGCCCGCGACATCTTTGGCTTCGCCATACCAGAGCACTGACAGGCTTCTCGTCCTCAGCTCGAACGCATCGCTCTACTACCAGATCTTGACAAAGCCTCTTCGAGACAGCAACTTCCGCTGGGCTGCAGTCTATGGAAACCATGGTATGGAGAGAGCGTACTGGGTATTTTGCATAATCCGCTAGACATGACGCAAGTCATAACGAACCCAACCTCCCTCACTGGCCGTCGGCTCTGCACCCCGTTGACGCTCGCACTGATCAAACCCGTCATATATTCTGGCATGTGCACGGCGATCCATCGTCGGCAAATTTCCCTCTTATTTCTGTATCGCAGATACCGGGCCGAACTTTGCGTCCATCGACCTCCTCAACACCGAGCAGATGTACTCGCTTTCCCACACTCAACGCGGCTTCTCCAACATCACGGGCATCACAAACTACTGGCTACCCGTCTATGGCTCCACTCCCAACGCCACCATGTTCAATGGAGTCGAGGTTCCGACGATGATTCTTTGGTTCTTTGACTCCAACGGCAATGCCAGCATGGCGCCTACGGATCCACTCAATTACAACAAGGTGTAAGTGCAGTCGGGCCGAATGCCAAGCTTGCGAAGGCTGCTGCGTTTATCTTTCTTTCGTACTGTCGGCCGGGTTGACTGCAGTATTTACTACCGGAGCGGCGACGGTGAAATCAGCGTCTGCTATGGCGAGTATAGCGCTTATACGACTCTATTCATTCCTCGGACTCGATGACATTCAGGCGCGCTGACCAAACTCAGTGGTTCATCAATGAGCATGCGAATGTTGTTGCGAGATACGGCCGCAACATCACTGGTCTGGCCTTCTTCCACATTCCGCCACCCGAGTACCAGGATCTCGATTCCGCCTTCCCCAGCGGATGTGCCGGTATGCATAACGAGATTCCCATGGCCGTTCAAGCCCTGCCAGAAGAAGGCTTCTTCGCAGCGCTGGTGTCATCCGGAACCATCCGAGCAACCTATGCTGCCCATGCGCACGGAAGCGGATGGTGCTGTCCCTACAGCGTCGCGAACATGGAGCTGTGCCAGGTCCGGCACACGGGCTTTGGTGGATACGATGAGGTGACCTGGGCCAAGGGTTCTCGCATTATCCAGATCTCGGAGAGCACCCCCACCCAACGGACCACCTGGGTCCGAACTCTGACCGGCACCGAGCAGTGATGTCGGAAACCAGCGCACCGACATCGCCAGCGCCCGAGTCTACACTCCCCCCACTATCAGTTCATCACCACTCCAGCCGCACTCACCTTTCACCACATAGATCCCTCCCAACAATTCATCGCTGCGGCTTACCCAACCAATCGCATGTCCCCAACCCCTGCTCGGATGTGTATGGCATTTCTGGGGAGCTCTCATACAGTTGCCTCTTCGTGGTTCATTTCTTTTTTACTCGCAGCCGTTCTCCTGCTCGCTTCTCAACCCATGTCAGTGTGTCCCGGGGCGATGGTGATGAGATTGGCGCGCTCGCACAATAACATACAACTCAGAAACGCAAAGGCAACGAAGAACAAGATGCCGCGAGTGGGTGAGCGAGCGGAATAAGCCATCGAGATCATTCCAGGAGAGAGAAGTGACGGAGTGTCGGCACGGCCTCACAGGTGGTCGTGGCGGCAAACCTATTCCTTGACCTCCGCCGGCGCATCATCAGATCGAACAGTCTCATAGACCTGGCCGACGACTCGCAGGGCCTCCGCGCGCCGTCGGCGAATCTCCTTCGACACGGTCTCGTCGCCCAGAACCCGATCGCAGACTTCGCGCAAGACCGCTTCGACCTCGAGCTTGCTGCCTCTCCAGAGGGCCTGCATTCCCTTGTCGGCGGCTTCTCGCTCCAGCTTGAGCTTCAGCTGGGCCTCCTCCTCGGTCAAGACGTGTGCGTCGGTCTCGGCAGCGCCCTTCTCTTTGCGCTTCTCGTCCGTCTTCTTTTCGATCTCCTGGAGCTTCTGGAAGCTCTTTTGGAGGTCCATCGCCGTCTGGAATGTCCCGACCGTCTCGCTGACGACGTGGGCCTTTTCCTTGAAGTTGGCATGGATGCGGGTGCCAAAGCCAAAGACCTTGGCAAATACATCGCCGTGCTCGACGTCCATCTTGGCCAAATGCTGTTGGGCCTTTAGGCAGTAGGTAAATCCAATGGCGTGAAGAAGCTCGACGCCGTACGATTCGGTCTTGAGCCCATCGGCTTCAATCTTGACAAGGTCCCTGAAGGACTCGAGGGCCTCGCGGGCGATCTGCTCGAAGGAGGTGCCGATCGGCTGGTTGTCTTTCGAGTCGATAACCGGGAAGGCCTCGGTGTAGAGCGACAGCTTGTTGACCAGGTTGTTTGAGAGAGCTTTGACTCGCTGGCTCCGGATCTCGTTCCGCTCCTCCATCGACATGGTCGGGACCGAGGCGTCCGCCGAGCCATCGGGACCCATGTTGGCCATGGCATCCTTGAAATCACGGGCAATCGAGATTTCGCCGATGATGTCCGCAAACTTCTCGCCGCCGAACTGTTGCTTGAAGAACTCAGATGGATCCATAAAGGCCGACTCGGAGCCACCCATGGACTTGCCGTATTGGTTGTAGATGGTGCGCTTTTGTGGATCGTATAGAACTGCGAGCGAAACAAATGGAGAGGGTTTCGTCAAAACAGAGCAACGGGCTCCGGATCAAAGAGGAGACATGGTTGGCCAGAGGCGGACAGCTCCAGGCCGCCAGCAAACCCAGAGGCGAATTGATGGCTACAGTAGCCGGACGCTGTCTTGGAGGACTCCAGCAGCCAGTCCTATGCAGCAACTACTGCTAGGCAATACACGAGGGTTCCGGACGCCTCCTACCTTGGTATGCCTCCGAGATCCGCTTGAACTTCTCCTCGGCCTCGGGGTCCTCGGTGTTTTTGTCAGGGTGGAACTTCATGGCCATCATGTAGTAGCCCTTTTTGATTTCGTTCGGCGTGGCCTGGGTGGACACTCCCAGCAGCTCGTAGTATTCGGCTTCGAGAGGGTTCTCATCTGGATTCCGCCAGGGGTGTTGGACCGAGAACGAATCAGTCAGGACGGCGTTCGTGAGCGATCACCAGAACGAATTATGGGCACGACCGGGGCTCTGAACGCCGCAAGCATCCAAGTGTCTGAGGAGCCGGTGCACATGCCGATATTTCAAAAGGAGGGACACTGCTCTTCATGCAATCGAGGGAGCCGGGGTGTGCGATGGAGTGGCAGTATGGATCGTCGCGACAGACAGTCACAGCCAGTCCGCGAGCACCAACCTGTGCCTGTCTTGCCGCCGAACTTTGCCGGCATGGACTTTCTGTTCTGGTCTGTGGTGGAATTGCGCTTGTCCTCAGCCAGAGGTGTATACAGAACCTTGACGGTGGAGGCCTGGACGGTGGTCTTGGCCTGGCAGCTGTGGCAGACAACGGCGAACGAAGTCGAAGACGAGGACGGGGCTGGGACCGAAAACTCGAGCAGGGTCTTGCATTGGAAACAACAGACCGTCGCCATGGGGCGATGGGGCCTGGAGTTAATCTCCAGCGGTGGCATGGATGGGAGTTTCGCAGACGGCGGGGGCAGATGGCGGATGGAAGGCCAGAATGCATGCCCAGCCCAGCCGCCGCCCTTGATGCAGCTGAAAAAAATGGACAGCGCCAGAGCGAGAGCGAGAGCGACGGACGAGAACATCCGCCGAGGAGCAACTCGCCAGCACCACCATCTCTTGGCCCCGCATTTTTGCACGAGCAAGCCAGTGCCAGTGCCAGTGCCAGAGGAGGCCGCAGAGAGTAACCAAGGACTGGAACGGAGCATCGACCGGCAATCCGCGGCAGTTGTCGGTGTCATGTCTCATCCGGCTCTGGATCAGACTCTGCGGGGTTGGCCATGAGCCTCCCACAATCACAGACCCGCGGCGACATGGCACACCCGGCCACAGCACGATTTGGATACTGCAGGACTACCAGGCGGCGCTCGCTCAAGGTGTAACGTCGTTGGAGCTCTCCAGCATCAGCCACTCCGTTTCTGTCTGCATGAACACGCTGCGTTGTATTGGTTGTGGGAACAATGAAAAGGAGCGTGTCTGGCTCCTCTGGGAAATAGAGTGAGGGGGGGAGAAACGAAGGAAGGAGCGGCAACGAGCAACCCGATGGCATTGGTCCAAAAGATGGCGAGACAAGGTGGGAGAAGGGGAGAGGTGAGATTGTCCGCTCACATGAGATGGCTATCGGATCGACGCATATCCAGCTCCATCACCAGCGACGGCCGACACGCTCCGTGATCAACGGGAGGGGTTAAATGAGAGGAGGGAAGTCGCCATGAGATTCATTCGTCTAGTAGACACGGGCGACGGGAGCGACGGTCTTGCACTCGCTTTCGTCGAGGGTGTCCATGATGACAGGGCGGTATTCCAGGTCAACCTTGCCGGTCTCGACATTGTGGCGGGAGATGGTGTGCTTCATCCAGTTGGTGTCGTCACGGGTCTGCACGAGCGACGGATTGCGAGAAAGCATGTGAGCAACATGAGGATGGCACCACAATAACGACCAAAGCAAGCCGCGAGCAGAAGATGTAAACGGCGCCACTTACGCTGTAGTCCATGCGAGCGTGGGCACCACGGGATTCCTTGCGGACGGCAGCGGAGTGCATGGTCTGCACGGCGTTGGTCATCAGGTTCTGGAGCTCAAGGGTCTCGACGAGATCGGTGTTCCTGTCATGGATTGAGGTGGCCAATGAGAATCCAATCGGCAGAAGCAGCCGGATCCGCACCGGCATTGCCCGTAACAGCACCTGGGGGTGCATGGCACGCCACTTACCAGATCATGCCACGGTCGGTAGTCTTGACGTCGGGCATCAGGGCAGCAACCTCATCAATCAGCTTGACACCCTCCTGCAAGCTCTCCTCGACACGGAAGACGGCGGCGTTGTTCTGCATGACACGCTGCATCTTGAGGCGGATATCGGCAGTGGGAACAGCGCCGCTGGCGTAGCGGACCTTGTCGAGGTTGGCCACGGTGGCAGCGCCGGCATCGGCAGGAAGAGGGCGGTGAGGGGTGTCGGGCTTCAGAGTCTCCTTGATGTGGTTGGCACAGGCGCGGCCAAAGACAACAATGTCGAGAAGCGAGTTGGCACCGAGACGGTTGGCGCCGTGCACAGAGACACAGGCGGCCTCACCGGCAGCATAGAGCCCGGGCACGACGTGGTCCTGGCCGTTACGGTAGTCGATGACTTCACCGGTGTAGCGGGTGGGGATACCGCCCATGTTGTAGTGGACAGTGGGCAGGACGGGGATGGGCTCCTTGGTGACGTCGACACCGGCAAAGATGGCAGCGGTCTCGGAAATACCGGGCAGACGCTCGTGCAGGACCGAGGGGGCGAGATGGCTGAGCTGCAGGAAGATGTGGTCCTTGTTGGGTCCGACACCACGGCCCTCGCGGATCTCGATGGTCATACTGCGGGAGACGACGTCGCGCGAGGCGAGATCCTTGGCGGTGGGGGCATAGCGCTCCATGAAGGGCTCGCCCTCGGAGTTGAGAAGGTAGCCACCCTCACCACGGGCACCCTCGGTGATGAGACAGCCAGCGCCGTAGATACCAGTGGGATGGAACTGGACAAACTCGAGATCCTGGAGGGGCAAGCCAGCGCGAGCAACCATGGCGTTGCCGTCACCGGTGCAGGTGTGGGCCGAAGTGCACGAGAAGTAGGCACGTCCGTAGCCGCCGGTGGCAAGGACGGTCTTGTGGGCACGGAAACGATGCAGGGTACCGTCCTCCATGTTGAGGGCGACGACACCGCGGCACTCGCCTATGGAGATGGCAGGCAATCGACCGACAGTCAGTTCGCGGTCGCGTATGCAGCATGGTAATAGCCATGCATAGACAGAAGAGAGTCGAGTGAGTTTGGGCTTGAGCACTCACCGTTCTCCATGATCAGATCCAGAGCAAAGTACTCGATAAAGAAGGTGGTATCGTATCGGAGGGACTGGCCATAGAGGGTGTGCAGCAGGGCGTGGCCCGTGCGGTCAGCAACAGCAGCGCAGCGGTAAGCCTGGCCACCTGGAAAACGAGCCAGAAAGGGTCAGCGAGGACTAATGCTCGGCCGCCAAGGCACAGGTGATTCTCACGCGGGGCCTGTTGAGTTTTCCGCTCGACTTCTTAGGCGGGATCCTCCCTGCGGCTGTCCTCAACCAGCCGCACCACTCTCCACTTTTGCTTCCGTATCTGCCACATGATTTGATGAACGTGCTTGCAGAGGGTGGGCACGTTCGAAGACAGCCACTTTCCAGCAAATGCTCTGCGACACAAGAGCTAATGTTGCCAGCTCCGATACGCTCGAGGCTACCATTTCCGCCCGGGCTGTCCAATGTACTTGCCTTTGCCGAACTTGAGGGACTGACCACCGAAAGCACGCTGGTAGATCTTGCCTTCCTCGGTACGCGAGAACGGAACGCCGTAGTGCTCGAGCTCGATGACGGTCTGGGGAGCCTCGCGACACATGTAGTGGATGGCATCCTGGTCACCTATATGAGTGTTCCACGAATGGATGAGTTATGGCCACAGCCGATCTGCACCGCATGGTGCGATCATGTGGGAGAAAGCGAGTGACAGGCGAGGACGAGTATCATGTCGGGACGAACACGCCCAGGACAGCAATACTGATGCAACCAGAAGGGATGCGCATGTGCTAACCTAGCCAGTCGGAACCCTTGACGGTGTCGTACATATGCCATCGCCAGTCGTCCTCGGTCATGTTGCCGAGAGCGGCGTTGATGCCGCCCTGAGCCGCAACGGTGTGGGATCGAGTGGGGAACAGCTTCGAGATACACGCCGTCTTGAATCCATCCTTGGCAAGACCGAAGGCAGCGCGAAGACCAGCACCACCGGCGCCAATGACGATCGCGTCGTAGGTGTGATCGATGAACTGGTAGGAGCCGCCCTGGGCGCCCTGTATGGGGTTGTGAATAGTCGAGGCGTCATGCAGATGAATGAGCAATGGTGGCGACGCGCTCGATCTACAGGGGGCCTGGCTGATAATGCAGCACAAGCAAAGCAAGTCTCGATGTGCGGACCTGGGAGGTGGAGCTGCGGAGAGGCTGGCTAGAGAGGATTCGTCGGGCAGCCAGAGATTGAGAGAACGAGCGGAACTGGACTGGAGCATGGTGGCAACGGGCCAGCAAGCAGACACCGATGCGCGAGGGTTAGACCCAGATCCGTGGTATTTCTGCGATGTGTGCGCACTCTTCTGCGCAAATGATCGAGATGGCACGGGCCAGGATGGACAGAGACCAGCCCTTGTAGTAGCCACACTCGGCCCAGGGTATGCAACGGCGATGTGGATCAGATATCGCCTCTATTGGACATCATTGGCGCTATCACGGCCACGCGCGTGTCAGACTCGTACCTTGAGGGACCTGATGCATGAGCAATGATGCCGCCATAGTGTCAGATGGATGTCCGCTCGTCATTGGCAGATGATGATGCACCAGCCGCATCCGATGCGGCGAGCGATACGGCACAACGCCTGGACCGGACGCATGCACACACAATATCCTTACCACGAAGGGTCTGGCCATGGAGGCGGCAGCAAAGCGGAACATGGCGACTCTGTCAAAAATCTCTATTGCGCGAGAGTGTTGCGATGGCGGATGCAGGACGAACGACCCTTCGACAACAGCCGACAGCGAGAGCAAGGCCGTGGCCGAAAAAGAAAAGGACGAGGCAGCGGCGAGGAGCCAGCCTTGCGCAGTCACGGAGGATGTGGCGCAGCCGCTTAATTTGGTGGATCCTGCGGGTGCATGTGAGAGCGCATGAGGATGTGGATGTGGATGTGGATGTGGATGTGGATGTGGATGTGGATGTGGATGTGGATGTGGATGTGGATGTGGATGTGGATGTGGATGTGCCTCTGTCAGCACATCCCAGATCCACATTCGTTTGTTCGCTCTGTTCATCTCGCCGTTCGTTACGGTGCACTCCACGGGCAAGGACCTGAAGCGCCCTCCGACTTCCCGAAACAATGTGCGCTGGCGATGCAAATATATTGTATCGCATGGCATCGGTCGAAAGTAACTCGCAGAGAATGGAAATGCTGCTGACGGCCCCACACCGTCGGATATTGTGCTATGTACAGTTGTTTGGCATTGGAGCTCGACTTCGTTCTGGGAGGGGGGAAGGCTGCTCAGGCAGCAAGTTCCTGCTCTTCTTGCATGAGAAACCGTCGTCGCATTTCGACGGCACTCTCCCAAAGATCGAGATCCAGTCCGTCGACATTGCGGATGATCTTTGCGTCCACATGAGCGGTGCAGTGAGTCCCCTGGCCGATGAAGAGCTTGGTTAGATCCAGTGCGATCGTGCGAGCTCTTGAACGACAGATCGCTGACGTCTACCAGCACCATCTTGGCCATGCTGGGCTCTGGTCGAACACCCACCATCTCGAGATTGCCAATGACTTGGATCAGCATCCGCTCGCGCAAGGGGGCCGCATCGCCAACGAGATCGGTTCGGACGGTCAGCGTGGCGGTACGGCGCTCCAGAACCAGCAGGTTGCTCATAGGATCGATCTTGGAGATCCTGCACAGCCAGTGGAGAGGGCAGAGGCGAAGGGTTGGCTCAAAGCACTCCAAGGCATTCGCTTCGCTCGATTCGCCACGGATGGGGCTTGACAACACGCAGTATGCCGCGGGTGCGAAGAGAAAGGCACAGCGAGGCTTGCCTTCCAACGACTCGGACGGACTGTCCGGCCAGCTCATCGAGGCGCTGGGCAATCTCGTCGATGTGGACGATCTGCGCCGCCTGTCTTGGTGTGTTCATCGCCGTTGGGTTTGGTCGAGCAGGGAGATGCGAGACAAAGGGGCGCTCTCCTTGCAGCGCCGCGAACGGATGCACCCAGCCCTCTTCCTCCTGCAAAACGGCTCGCCATGGCAAGCTTAAAACTCTGACGAATTTATTGGAGATCAAGTATTGGAGATCAGGTATCGAAACGGGACACCTATTCCGCCAGCAAAACAGCATCGACGCCTGCTTTCTGGTCGAGGCGAAGGCTATTTGGAGGGAAATGACTGGCCGAAACCCTGGCTATCGCAGTGGTTCAGGGAGTCACAGTCACCCCCTGCGGCATCGATAGAACATACATGGTAAGGTCAGTGCTACCTTCTTCAGCCTACGGCGTGCCAGGTTTTCACAGCGATTCAAATCACCACCGCCTGTCGATGGTCTGGGCGCTCCGCTCTATCGTAGACGCAAAGGAATAGAAAATGCCCAGGCTCACACCTGGGCCACTCCTCTACCAACCTTCCAGAAGGCAACATGCCCGGCAATGTTCTTGGCTGCTGGCTTGGGGTCGGCATAGAACCAGACGGCGTCTGGGTTTTCCTTGCCCTTCACGACGAGGGTATAGTAGCTTGCGACTGCACCGAGAACGCACCAGAGACATCCGCTTCCGTCAATGATTCCGGAGACAGACAAGACAGACAAGACGGACAGGATATTGCTACAACTGAAATGCATACACAGACAAGCGCAACGAACCTCCCTTCCAGGAGCAGACGGTCTGGGTCGTCGACGGCTTGATGTATTGCTTGTCGAGCGAGTCGACGGGGAAGTAGATGTTTCCCTCGACAGTCTCGAACTGGTCGGACTGGGCGATGACTGGCCCCCAGAAATAGGGTCATTTAGATACCACTCATGGAGACTCGAGCCACCAAGCTGTGCGGAGCATACCGACGCCGTTCCAGGTTGCAGTTGGCATGGCAGGATGGATGGGGTGATGGAGTCGAAGCGAGGATCGAGCAGAACCCCAGAACAGAAATGCTTTTGCGGAGCGGTGCAATCCGAACAGCCGCCATTTCAAATCATTTCTCCGTTTCGACTTGGGGACCCAGCATCCGCAACATGCCCCACAGACTCAATCGGAGTTTGACGCGTTTCGCCATGATCCACGGATGAATACTTGGGCTGGTGCTGCCGGATATCGCCCCGCAGCTGGAGCGATCCGCAGAGGCGAGAAAGCACTCTGTGGGGGCGATGGCTTGCGTCCAACAATGCCATATGCAATAAACAGATCGCCTCCGAGTGAAGATGTGGGTCGCTCTCCGGTCTCCACAATCGACATGCACTGCTCAAAGTACTTGGCAAATCGCTGCCTCTTGAGACTGGATGCATAGCCCTTGCCCTGTCGCCATGACGCATTGTTAATGGTGATGACCACCTCGGCTCAAAACGGGAACGCTGTAACAAGCATGGGACAACCCGTTTGGTTCGGAATGCATCGCGTGTATCCGAACCATGTTCGTCGGTGCGAGGCGGCTAGCTGTCGATGCATGTGTTACCTCATCGAAAGCAAGTTCGTTTGGAGACTCTGTCCGGCCCGGTTCAATCCCTCGCCCTTCAATCGCAGCTTCGTCACTCCGGGTCAGGCATTCGTCCGCAAGCTCGTCCGGGCGAGTTCCCAAGGACCCAGCTGTTTGACCCGGACGAATACTGGCCAATGGGGGCTGAAGCCTATTCGAGCCCCGCGCTTGCCTCATCGCACCCTGGCAACAGCCCGGCGGGGACGTCCTGTGATCCGCAAGCACATATGCACAGTAGCGGCCCTTGCTTTTGAGTTGGATATGCGACGCCACTGACCTATTTGACTGTCCATTCCAGTGACGTTGCTTCGGCGCAGTGGTCCGGGCCGGCGGCGCCGGCTTCCCTGAGAAATGTCTTTTAAATCGCCAGAGCGTCCCCCCTCCCGAGACGTATGGATCTCACCCAGATGAGCATGTTACTTGGTCCAAGCCGAGGCGTTGTTGGCAAGATGCCATTTCCATCAAATCTACTACTCCAGCATGAATAGAGCGGCACAACCAGGGTCGCCAAGGTAGGTTCATGGTACCGAGACTCGCCATTGCTGCTCGTTCCTCGACATCCCAATACTCGCCGGTCGCCGTGTTCCGACTGTTGACTCTACTCGGAACCAGGTGGAGATCATATGCGGACGAGGATGCGGCGATATGCGGGAATATGTTTGTTGATTGAAGTTGTGGGACCCGATGATTGCCTGAGCAATCATACGATCGCTTTCGCACACGCCGAGGCATAATGATGTCGGATTACCATCGCGCTGCTCCAGACCACGCACGACTGACTCGCAGGGTCCATGAAACTGGGGATCTACCTCGCTCCCGCGTCCTGCATCGGCCGGCATGACGGAGCACCCTGGTCCCCAAAGCGACGCCAAGCGCCATCGATCAATCCGGCGCGAGAGCAGTACCCGTCCCGTTCCCACACCCTTGCTCGCGGAGCTCGCCACTCTGGCGGTCCCCTCACCCCTCATGTGCTTTCGTTCTCGCCACCTGCCTGTTCGCCGCGCTTCCCCGCCACTTTGCACGCCCTTTTTCACCCAATCGCCCGCGTTGGGCTCGGTATCCCATGCCCGCCCGGCTCACTCTTGCCCACTCTTGCCCACTCCGCTGCAGCGCATGTCCTCGCTTCATCGCCTCGGCCATCTCTATCGCTGCTCGCCCCTGTTGTCGTGCATCGCTTGTTCCCAGCAGACGCGTCTCCCCCTCCGGTGCTGGTTGGTCGGAATTGCGGCCACTCCTTATTGCCAACAGGCGCGTTCCCTGGCAGCCACACTCTGGCTGCACCCGCACGCGTTGTCGCTGTCTCCCGTGATGATATCCCGCCAATCGCATCGGCACCCTGCGGCAAACGCGCGGCGGATTTTTCGGATTGGCTCGAATTGGGCCATCCAGGGGCGTCGCCGATTGGCCGGAATTCGGCGCGAGCCACGGCGGCTGCCTCGTTCGCCGGCCCGCCAGACGCAAGCAAGGTCGTCGTCGTCCCAAACCCTTTCATCCCACTTGGGCCGACCTCGTGTCTGCCCTCCAGGCCGCCTGGTCGTCCTGTCCCGGCCGGGTCCTGCAACAAACACGCCCGAATTCCAGCAAATCAACTCGCGCCGCCCGAGGTGCCGGTGGAACGGTCTGGATGGGAAAGGAAGTGTGGGAATGCCGCTCGTATCGGCTTGCCCAGCGCACTCGGCTCACTCGGCAGATTGAGAGCGAAGGCGCGGGCCAGGCCGCAAGTGTATGCTCGCTGGGAAAAAAAAAAGTTTGCTTCTGGCTCCCGCGCTCGGCACACCCGGAAAACGATAAATGGACCACTTCCCCGCCATCCAGTCCCTGCTCCCCCATCTCCATAGTCTGGAAGCCTGGTCTGGTGAATCGTATGCTACCTCAAGCTGCCCCCAACACCCAACCCAGCCATGGCCCCGCTTGCTTCTACTTCCACCGATTTGGAGTCCAATAACACTGGCAGTCCATCTGACTCGCGTCAGATTGCCACCAAGAGCCGCACCAGCACCAGCGGTGCCTTCGGGCTGCCTGCTACCCGCGAGCCCACCATGGAAATCATCCCTGTCTTCCGCACCATCTCCGTCGAGATCAAGAACCCTGCCAAGAAGAAGGCCCAGGCCGCCAAGGGCAGCAAGGACTGGAAGAAGGAGGACAGCCACTCGATCCCTCTCCCGGACTTGTATGTCCGTCTCGGAGCCCGTCCTCCCCAGGACGGCGGCCTCCTGAGCGCCGTCGCTGCCCAGAAGCTCAAGTTCGAGGGCCCCAACACCATTACTCCCGTCCGTGAGAACCAGGTCCTCAAGCTCCTCAGCTTCTTCTTTGGTGGCTTTTGCTTCCTCATGTGGTGTGCCGCCTTTATCATCTTCCTTTCCTACTGGCCCCTCCCTCAGCTCGACAACCAGGCCCCGAGTGTTTACAACCTCGCCCTGGTCATCCTTCTCTTGGTCGTCATCCTTTTCCAAGGTGTCTTCTACGCCTGGCAAGACTTTTCGTCCAACTCGGTCATGAAGAAGATCCACAACCTCCTCGCCCAGGACGCCACTGTCATTCGTGATGGCAAGTCCGTTGTCATCCCCTCCGGCCAAGTCGTTCCCGGCGATATCATCGAGCTCAAGCTCGGCGCCAAGGTTCCCGCCGACTGTCGTATCATCGAGTGCTCGGGCGATCTGTCCTTTGATCGCTCCATCCTCACCGGCGAGGCCATTGCCGTCAGAGGCAACACTTCGTGCACTGACCCTTCCTTCACCGAAACCCGCAACGTTGCTTTCATGGGCACCTCCGTTGTCAATGGCAGCGGCAAGGCCGTCGTTGTCTTCACCGGCGACAACACCATGATGGGCCAGATTGCCACCCTTACTGCCAAGAAGAAGGTCGAGAAAACCCTCCTTCAGAAGGAAGTCATGTACTTTGTCGCCTTTGTCGCCACGGTTGCCTTTAGTTGCGGTGCCATCTGCATGCTTGTCTGGGCCTTTGTGCTGGATAAGCAGCCCCAGCCCCAGTTTGATTTGATCGGCATGCTCGGCAACCTCTGCGGTATCATTGTCGCCTTCGTCCCTGAGGGTCTTCCCATCTGCATGTCCGTCACCCTCGGCGTCATTGCCCGCAGAATGGCCAAGCAGGTATGTCTCTGGCTTCGCGACGCGCTCCCCAGCATTCCCACAAGTGGTGCTCGCCATGCACTTGGCTCGGCCCGATCTCTCTGCCATGCCATCTCTGTATACATGCACGCTGCCGTGTTTCTATGCAGACGCTGGCTGATTGTACAACTAACGCTGTCCCCAATCGGCCACCACAGAACGTCCTCGTCAAGCACCTGACCACCATCGAGACCCTCGGCGCCGTCTCCGTCATCTGCACCGACAAGACCGGCACTCTGACCCAGAACAAGATGACCGTCACCACCGTCAGCATCTGCGGCGACTCGACCACCAAGCCCTCCAACAACATCACCAGCCTCCTGCACCACGTTATTGCCCAGTGCTGCGATGCCAAGTTCCAGGATCCCGACACCGTTGAGCTGAGCAAGCGCCTGGCCTCGGGCGATGCCACCGATGTTGCTGTTCTCAAGTATGCCGAGGGCCTCGGCTCTGTTACCAACATCCGCGGTGCCTTCAAGAAGATCTTTGCCATTCCCTTCAACAGCCGCAACAAGTGGATGCTGACCATCCAGGACTTTGAAGAGTCGCCCATCCCCGAGCTCGCCGGCACCACCCTGTTCATCAAGGGCGCCCCCGACATCCTCTTTGCCAACGTCACCAAGGCCCTGACCCCCGACGGCAAAGTCGTTCCCTTTGCCGACGTCCGCCAGCTCATCCAGTCTGCTCAGCTCGACTGGGCCAGCCAGGGCAAGCGTGTCATTGCCGTCGCCTACAAGAACATCGATGCCCAGAAGCTGCAGGCTGCCGCCCAGGTCCAGGACGGCCTCGAGCCCTTTGCCTATGACTCGATCAACGACCTCACCCTCGTTGGACTGCTCGGCATCGTCGACCCTCCCAGACCCGAGACTCGCGGTACTGTCGAGACCTGCCGCAAGGCACACATCCGTGTGGCCATGGTGACTGGCGACTTTTCGTCCACTGCTGTTGCCATTGCCCGCGATGTTGGCATCATCACTGCCCTCAAGGTCGACACCGTGGCCAGCCTCCCCAACGCCGTCAACCGAGTCAAGAAGGTCGAAAAGCCCCAGAAGAAGTCCATCTTCAGTATCTTCTCGCGCTCCAAGCCTACTGCCACTCCCGTCGGCGAAGAAAAGACCAAGGCCGAGAAGAAGATCACCTACCTGCGCCCCAACATCGAAGAAATCGAAGAGGACGGCCGTGCCATCGTCATCTCTGGGTCTGAACTCGGCGGCCTGACCGACAGCGACTGGGACAAGATCTGCAGCTACCAGGAGCTTGTCTTTGCCCGTACCTCTCCCGAACAGAAGCTGCAGATCGTCGAGGAGTTCAAGAAGCGCGAGGAGATTGTTGCTGTCACCGGCGACGGTGTCAACGACTCGCCTGCTCTCAAGGCCGCCAATGTCGGTGTTGCCATGGGCGGCGGCTCCGAAGTCGCCATGGAGTCTGCCTCGCTGGTCCTGATCGACAACAACTTCTCTTCGCTCATCTCGGGCATCGAGAGTGGCCGTCTGTGCTTCGACAACGTCAAGAAGGTCATCATGTACCTGATTCCGTGCGGTACCTGGTCCGAGCTGTGGCCCGTGCTCTTTGCCATCTTCCTCGGCATCCCCCTTCCCCTCAACGCTGCCCTCGATCTTGTCATCTGCTGCATCACCGACGTCTTCCCCTCTGTGGCCTTGATCTATGAGTCTCCGGAGCGCCACGTCATGACCCGCCCGCCCCGCAACCCCAAGACCGAGAAGCTCGTCAACGTCCAGATGTTCGGCCACGTCTACCTGTTTATCGGCTTGATGCAGGCCATCTTTGCCCACATCATGTTCTCGACCTACATGACCGAGTCCGTTGGCGTCGGCTTCAAGGACTACCTTCTGCAGTACGGCAACCTCGTCAACGATCCGATTGTGTTCCCCAACGGCGTGACCATCTCGCAGGCCAACTTCCAGACGGCCCTCAATTCGGGCAACTCGGTGTACTTTGTCTCGCTGGTGATCATGCAGGTGTTTGGCAACATGTATGCCTCGCGCACCCGCTTCAACTCGATCCTGCAGCAGAACCCCTTCTGGGGCCCGACCCGCAACCTGTACCTGCTCGTGGCCACGGTCTGCTCGCTGGCCTTTGCCGCCCTCTTCGTCTACACCCCTGTCTTCAACAACCTGTTCATGTGCGGCCCCATCCCTCTCAAGTACTGGTTCATGCCCCTGGGCTTTGGCCTGATCATCATCATCATGGACGAGCTCCGCAAGCTCGCCGTGCGCACCTACGGTCCCAAGTCGCTCATTGCCAGAATCTCCTGGTAGAGCGTATCTCTCGGGCCGCTGTTCATATATTCATATCGCGTCTGGTTCTTGCGTTTCCTGCTGGTCCCGTCGCTCTGTCATCTATTGAATCATATGCCCCTCCCTTTCCGGCCTGCTCAGGCCATTGTCGTCTCTCTCGCCCTCTCAACCCATTTGCTCTCCAACAATGTTTCAAACTTTCATGAATTCGCCACAATGTGCTTCATATACAATCCAAATACAAAAAAATGCGACGCCCCTCGTTGAGGGAGGCAGTGTCAATGTATTTCGTTGCTCCAGGACAAGTGAGCTGTGGGCGAGTGCGGTGTACCTGGTTGTCGGAACGCTTCCGGATGCGATTAGCTTCGCCATTGGTCGCTGGGATATCCCATCGTCCCGGCTGGTGGTCGCATTCGCTTCATTTGAGTGTTGGCTGTTGTTGGTCGATTCTGCGATGATTGGCCCAGAGCCAGGACGATTCCGTCACGTCCCTCCCCAAAATAGCTGCCCCTCGCTCCGTTGGCTTCCTCGGATTGGAAATAGCAACATGGCCTTGCCGGTGCTGTGTCGGCTGGTGCTGGACCCGAAATAGACCACCGTCGCGGCTCGCTCAAGGACCAAGACGTGAGTGGTTCCTGCGACAAATATGCCGCCGTGCTATAAAGGCCCTCGCGGTCCCGCAGGTCGCACGCTTTCCATGAGCCCGACTCGCTTCATCCACGACCATCCAGCCCCGCAGCTCCGGACCACGGCCGCCTCTGCAGCGACGCCGCCTTCTCCCACTGGCATCTGGACATCCCCCTCCTCAGCCCGTCTCTGTCCATGTCTTCCAAGTTTGCCTCGGTGGTGCTCTTTACCGTCGGCACATTGGCGCTCTCGAGAAACCAGCGCACCAAGGCGTTTCTGACGTTCCTCAAATCGGCCCGGCTGGGCTGCGTCGATGCTTACGGTGCCCTCGGCTTCCTCTTTGAGTTTGGCCTGACTTCCGATAAACACCCGACTGCCGCTCCCGACCACAAAACCGCCGCCAGGTATGGACTGTTTGCCCGGAATCCGGTAGACACAGTTGGATTGCTTTCCTGGTTGTGTGGGGATGTCGACATCTCAGTACATGCATGAAGTCAAAGCTCGACGTTGACTGCCTTCGCCTGTGCCTGACTCTATCCTCGCTCTTCACCTGCCCTTCTGGATGTGCCTGTCCACTGCGGCATCTTTGTGGGAATCGACGCTCAACCGATCCGTCCTGCCAACCTTCCACCAACCATTCTACCGGCATCGCCCGCCTTTAGTCTGTACGAATATGCCGCCCAGCACGGCTGCAGCATGGCCCAGGCTCGATTGGCTTTCCTCAAAGCCCACGGACGCCCCAACGTCAAGATTGACCAGCAGGCCGCCATGCACTGGAAGACCCAGGCCAACCGCCCCAACCGACAGTCGATTGCGTGGCTCAGATATCTCGCTCGTGCCGGTCTTGCGCACGCCCAGTTCTGCCTGGCCATCTGCTGCTACAACGGCATCGGCACCCCCGAGAACAACTCCAAGGCATTCAAGTGGGCTCAGCTCGCAGCAAACAGCGGCCAGCCTGGCGCACAGAACCTGCTCGGCAACATGTACATCGAGGGCTCGGGTGTCTCCCAGGACTCCAACCTGGGCTATTACTGGTACCAGCGGTCGGGCGAGCAGGGCGAGCCCTCGGCCATCTACAACATGGGCACACTCTACGAGCGAGGCGTGGTCGTGGAGCAGAGCCTCAGCAGGGCTTTTGATTACTACCTCCGAGCGGCCATCCTCGGCAGCGTCAACGCTCAGAACGTGCTCGGCATCTTCTACGAGCAGGGCACTGGCGTCGCTGTCGATGGCAACCAGGCGGCTGCGTTCTACACCAAGGCGGCGCTGAACGGCCATCCCCACGGCCAATACAACCTGGCCCGATGCTTCCACGACGGGTTTGGAGTCAGCAAGAACAACCAAGAAACCGTGCGCTGCCTGGAGCAGGCTGCGAGCCAGAACCACCTCATGTCGGTGCTGTCGCTTGGCATCTGTTTCGAATACGGCATTGGCACAGACAAGAGTATCGATCGGGCATTTCAATGCTACTTCCAGGCAGCGACGCACAAGGACGGGCCCTATAGCCGCATGGCAAAGCGTCGGCTCAAGCCCCATTATGCCTTCTCTGTCCTCCGGGCTGCTCGGGCGCTGCTGTTGGGCTCGAAGCGCGATCCAACACTGCCTTCGACACGGCTGACGGTCGCCGATCTGCCTCCCGAGATCCAGGAGCGCATCATCTCCTTCCTTGCTCCAGAAAGCATCCTGAGTATGCAGGAGCGCCGGACGCTCTTGGCGGTGGCCACGAACCGGGCGACCCTGCACAACGAGACCCGATTCGAGCCCAGCAACATCCGCCAGTCACCGCTGTCGGGCAGCCTCGAGTACACCCTGACGATGCGGAGCGGCACCCTGACACAGGACCACATCTATCAGCAACTCAAGTTCCGGCCGATCAAGCTGATGTGCAACTGCGAGGGCGGTTGCCAGTTTATTCGACATATCATGACGGCGATGGAGTAGCTTGCCACCTGTGCCCGTGCATGGCAATGCCCCCAGAATGAACCGAGGCGCCCTGTTCTCCCTTTCTGTATCATGAATATACTCATGCTTCGTTCCGACGGCGCTCCCTCGTTGCTGCTCCTCCCAGCCCAGAGGCAATTCCGATCGGCTGCTCGGTTGTGGACAATGCGCCAGCCACACAAGCCACGCAGATCACGTGTGCGATCGCCTGCCACAATCCCAGCCCGGTCAGGTGCTCCATATTTTTTTTTGGGCTCCGCGGTCCTTCGCTGCTGCTGCTGCTGCTGCTGCTGCTGCGTCGCGCACGTCCAGACCCAATCCCGCACAACCCCGCACTGAGCGCCGCCGTCGACGATGAAGTTGGATTTCAAGGTACAGCGGCGATGCCCCTTGTCGACTCGCCCGAGTCATCCGTACTGGCGGGCTGCATTCGAAAATCTGTTCACGGCTATTGATCTGCGGAAACGCAAAACATCCACTCGCTCTCCCCTCTCTGACGCTGGTGACGTCGCCCAATGCCTTCTGCAATATTTCCAGTTCTCGAACCTGTGCGGAACCGTATACAAGCAGGGAAATGTCCTGTTCACCCCCGACGGAAACTCGATCGTGAGCCCTGTCGGAAACAGGGTCACTGTATTCGATCTCGTCAAGTAAGGACTCATGTCAACCGACGCTGCCGTCGATATTGCGTGGTCACCAAGTCGGACGATCAAAGATGGGGGCAGATAAGCCGCACCGGCGAGATGCGAGCAATCATCGAGCCGGAGTTAACAAGACCAAGACAGGACCAGCCAGGGACTGGATCAACATCAGCGGAGATAGATCTGTATAGAATGACACAGGCGACACATGCTTTGGATTGTCCGGCAGACCAACGGAGGATGCCAGTACAGGACAACATGCGACGCGAGAAGGGCTCCATGCAGCTTGTCCCAATTCCAGACCCGCACGGGATAACTCCACTCTGAGAAGCAGGATATTGAGCTCGCAATGCGACTGCCGTTTGAATTGGATTCGAAATTCAGCTCGTTCTTTGTGTATTCCCAATGGTACAGCGAGTCCTGTTTGCGCACCGCACTTTGACTAACGCCATATTCATGGTCAACCGTCCCATGCTCAGCAACAAATCTGTTACCCTCCCTTTCGAGAACCGCAAAAACATCGCACGGATGGCTTTGTCTCCGAACGGGTCGCTTTTGATCACAGTCGACGAAGGTCAGGCTCTGTCCATGACGATGCACGCGCGCTGGCCAGCTGGCATCCAGCATCGGATGGGATGTCGGAAAGCGGCAGTGCTGTTGCTAACCTTGCGGTGATCAATACCACTGTGAACTTGTTTTCCTATATGGTCGCTGCAGACGGCCGGGCTCTCCTTGTCAACTTCCAGCGACATATTGTTCTGCATCATCACACCTTCAAGGAGCCTGTTCGTGATATCCAGTTCTCCCCGAACGGCCGCTACCTCGCCGTGACCTTTGGCCGCCTTGTTCAAGTGTGGAAGACCCCTGGGTTCACATTCGAGTTCTCTCCCTTTGTCCTGCACCGTACCTACGGCGGACACTACGACGACGTGACGCGGATCTCGTGGAGTGCCGACTCGCTGTACTTTGTCTCGGGTGGAAAGGACATGATTGTGCGCATCCACTCTCTCGACCCGACCGAGGGCTTTGAGCCGTGCTCGCTGGCCAGCCATCGCGATGTCATCGTCGGCGCCTGGTTCAGTCAAAGCCAGGACGCCGTCTTCTCGGTCGATCGTGGCGGCGCCTTGATCGAGTGGAGACGCCAACCCACCGACCAGAGCAATCAAGATAGCGACAGCGACGACGGCAATGTTGGCGATCGCAAGCGAGTCAAGGCCGCCAAGGGACAGGGCCACAAGGCTGCGCCCAAGCCCGAAACCAAGTGGAAGATTGCAAACAAGCGCTATTTCGACATGAAAGCCAAAGTCGTCGGCGTGGCCTTCCATGCAGCCTCCAACCTGCTGGTCGCTGGGTTCTCGACGGGTATCTTTGGTATATGGGAGCTCCCTGACTTTAACAACATTCACACGCTCAGGTTGGTGACTGCTTGATTGGTGTAGCCTGCCATCCACTCACTCCAACGGCGTTTTCGTACTTACGACCGGGCATCTATCACTTGCCTCGATCTACAGTATTTCGCAAAAGAAGATTGACACCGTCGCAATCAACGCTACCGGAGAGTGGCTGGCCTTTGGCGCCTCAAAGCTTGGCCAACTTCTCGTGTGGGAATGGCAGTCCGAGTCATACGTCCTGAAGCAGCAGGGCCACCAGTACGACATGAACTGCCTGGCCTATTCCCAGGACGGCCAGTACGTTGTCACCGGCGGCGACGACGGGAAGGTCAAGCTGTGGAACGTGCAAACCGGATTCTGCTTCGTCACCTTCACGGAGCACACCGCCAGTGTCAACTCGGTCGAGTTTGCCAAGCAAGGACAAGTGATTTTCTCGGCCTCACTCGACGGAACCATCCGTGCGTTTGATTTGGTGCGCTACCGCAACTTCCGGACGTTCACGTCGCCGACGCCGGTTCAGTTTGGCTGCCTTACGGTCGATCCCAGTGGCGAAATCGTCTGCGGCGGCAGCATCGACACCTTTGAGATCTACGTGTGGTCGGTGCAGACAGGAAAGCTGCTGGACATTTACTCTGGTCACAAGGGTCCGATTTCGTGCATGACGTTCTCGCCCACCGACGGCATTCTCGCCACCGGATCCTGGGACAAGACGGTCCGCGTCTGGGATGTCTTTGGCAGAGACATTTCCCCCGAGTCCTACGATCACCAATCCGAGGTTTTGGCGGTCGCGTACCGGCCTGACGGCAAGGAGGTTGCTGCGACGACCCTCGACGGCCAGATCAGCTTCTGGGAGGTCGAGAACGCCAAGCTCAAGTACACGATCGAGGGTCGCAAGGACATCAGCGGCGGGCGCAAGACCGCCGACCGCACGACGGCGGCCAACTCGTCATCGGGCAAGAGCTTCACCTCTGTCTGCTACACCTCGGACGGCCAGGGAATCATTGCCGGCGGCAACTCCAAGTACGTTTGCATCTACGACATCTCCAGCAAGATCCTGCTGAAGCGCTTCCAGATCTCCAGCAACCTCTCGCTCGATGGCATGCACGAGAAGCTCAACAGCAAGAACATGACCGAGGCCGGCCCCAGGGATCTCATCGACACCACGGCCGATCTGAGCGACCCCGAGGATCGGCTGGCCCAAACCCTGCCTGGAGCAAAGCGCGGCGACCTCAGTCTGCGAACAGTGCGTCCCGAGGCGCGAACAAAGTGTGTGCGCTTCTCGCCGACGGGACGCAGCTGGGCAGCAGCCTCGACCGAGGGCCTGCTGGTCTATTCGTTGGACGACCAGCTGATCTTTGATCCGTTCGATCTCGAGATCGACATCACTGCCACCACGGTGCTGGAGGCGCTTGCAATGCAGGACTATCTCCGATCGCTGGTCATGGCCTTCCGCCTGGGCGAGGCCAAGATTGTCCGGCAGGTGTACGAGACCATTCCGCCAAGCGATGTCCTGCTCGTGAGCCGCAACCTGCCGAGCAAGTACCTCGGAAAGTTTGTAAAGTTCCTGGTCGGACACATGGAGGAGAATCCACGTATCGAGTTCCATCTCTCGTGGATCGTCGCTCTGCTCAAGTACCACGGACGGTTCCTCAAGGAGCACTCGAACGAATTTTCGAGCGCACTGCGAGGGATGCAGAAGGTGATATCCAAAGAGTCCGAGGACCTCAGCAAAGTGTAAGTGATTGCAGGGCGGCATGGAGGAGGAGGAGAAGGAGGAGGAGGAGGAGAAGTGGAAGGGGGAGGAGGTCAGGTGCAATCTCGGCTCCATTCGGTGGTGGGCTTCTCACACATCCGTGACGGACTGAATTACTGGTGACTGACCAACGGGCCGCACATTTGGTCCCATTTAACGATCAGATGCAACGACAACACCTACACGCTACAATATCTCACCACCAAGGCAATCCAGGCTGGAGACGAGAACCTGGCGCCCCTCGAGTCGATGGAGTTGGACGAAGTCGGCATGGACGACATTGGGCTGTAAGGGGCACCTGACGACGCTGGGAACACATCCTGAACCCTCCCCCCGCGATCGGGAGATGAGTATCTCTGGGAAATGGTTGATAAAATAGAACCAAGAGGCATGCTTGCCCCGAGAGAGTCCATCAATAAGCGCCAGGGGGAATGGATGCTGCACTTGGGTGGATTCAATCAACTACTGCGATTTGTTCGTGCTCCTAATCCTGCGGAGGGCGTCTCTATCGCGATAGTACATCCATTATGCGGAAGTCGATTTTTCTTTCAATTCGTCTCTATTTGCCTGCCAGAGCACATGTGTGAAGCGGGGAATGGAGGCGGAAGCTCTATAGCTATGGACACGAATGCCCACGAACACAGCCGCGAGGCAGAGGTCCAGAGATGTATGGTCAAGAGCATTGGCATGCGGAGGCCAAGTGAGAAAAAAAAAAAAAAGAGTGGAAGGAAGGAGGAGGAGGAGGAAGCCAACGATAAAAGCGGATAAATAAAAAACCAGGGAGTGGAAGTAAATTGAGACGAATCGTCTGGAGCATCGTCAACAGTGGTCATCTCCCCTGGTCGGCCAGCTGCAGGAGAAGAGCCGTATTCGATAGACTCTGCTGGCTTTGTCTCTTCGCTGCGATCGAGGGACACAGGGATGTGTAGGCCAAATCAACAAATGTGTCGTAGTCAAAGATCCGATCCGTAGCAGGGAATGTACAGGCAATGTGCGCTAAGGCATAAGTAGGCGCAGGGATAGGGGGGGGGAAATGACGACGATAATGGGAGGGGCGAGCAAATGGCGATGGATGACGACGGTAATTGTGCTTCTGGTGATATGCGATCTGATGGTGACGGCTGTCGCGGTCGTGGGAGACGGATTTATGAACTTGCAGGTGGCATTAGCAGGAGGGGAGAGTGAGTGGGTCGGAGCTTACGAACTTGCGTGCTCGTTCTCGCTCCGCTCGGTGTGGCGACTGTGCAGCGACTCGGCCGACTGCCGAGCCGAGTTGAAGACGGAAAGCAGATCCTTTGGCACGTCCAACATGTGGTTCATCTTCTCGACCTTGGTGATGATGTATTCGTCCACCTCGGAGACGGCGGGGCTGCGGCTTGCGTCGCGGCTGGGCGAGGCCGAGGGAGGATCGATGTTGGGTCGGAAGGCGCTGCTGACGTTGCTCTGCGAGTGTTTCAGGAAGCCACGCCAGCTCTTGGGCACCATCGGGATGCGGTCGTCGATGTGGATGCCCTGGCTCTCGAGCTGCGAGATCTTGTCGGGGTTGTTGGTGAGGAGACGGAGCGAGGTGATGCTGAGATCCTTGAGGATGGCAGCGGCGATCTCGTAAGACCGGGCATCGACAGGGTGGCCCAGCAGGACGTTGGCCGTCAGGGTGTCGTGTCCTTGATCAATCAGGTTGTATGCCCTGTCGGAGGAAGCGAAAGGTCGATGTCGGCGGGTCAGCCAGAGCGGGTGCTGAGCGAGAGCCCAGAGGCAGGGGCAAGCGGGATACGGAGAAAGATAGAAACGGATGCAGACGGGTGTAGACGACTCAGCAACCAAACGGGAAACAGTCAGATGGCCAAGTAACAGCCAGATGGCCAGGTATAGCCGGACACACTCACTTGAGCTTTTCCTTCAGGCCAATGCCTCTGCCTTCCTGCTTGAGATAGATGATCACGCCCGATCCCTCTTTGTTGATCAGCGACATGGCATCGGCGAGCTGTTCAGCTGGAGACCACCAGCCATTGCCGAGAGAGAATGGGACCCAAGTGCGTCGTGGAGGGAAGATTGGAAGCAAGAAACAGAGAGGGCACGGCGTTGGAACGTGGCGATTGGATTTGTCGTGCCAGAGCCATTAGGACCGCCAACCATGATGCCAACAAAAGTCGATGCGGAGTCATGTAGAGGGATGAGAAATGATGTTTAGATGCCAGAACGGGAGCCACAGGCGAGTCAGATTGCCGAGCTTGCTGTCCATGTGTCGGTTTCTTGGCTCTGGACGGCGAGACCGACCCGACCGACAAAGCGCAGGCAAGCGACGAGCCATCGTCAAGGTTGTGCTGCAACAACCCACGGAACGTCCCGGCGAACATGGAGACCAGAGAGGAACAAACCGTACCGCAGTCGCAGCGAGCCGATCCCAGGGTCTCGCCTGTGAAGCATGCCGAGTGAATGCGCGTGAGGGTTGGAGGATGATCGTGGTGGTGGATGTGGCCGTTGGTGCCGTTGGTGCCGTTGATGCCGTTCAGTGTTGGTTCGGTCAGGCTGGTGGGTGGATTCGGAGCAGCGCCTCGCCGGATGCGATCCTCCGGCGAGTCTTCGCCAGGATGGACGGCCTCGAGGGAGGTCGAGACAATGTCGTCGCCATAGACGATGGCCAGATGCTCCTCCGAGTCTTGGTTGTTGGAGTAGAGGAAGAGCCAGCAGGTGCCGCGATGGTCAAAGGTGGGAATCCGGGCCTTGACGAGACAGTCGACCTTGACCTGGACGTCGGATCGGGTCGGCATGGTTTGCATCGGGACGGGAGAGCGGGGAGGACGAGTGCGATTGATGGATCTGGGAATATCCAAGCGACAGCAGGTTGGCCAGGACGATGGCCAGGACGATGGCCAGGACGATGGTCAGAGGAGAGCAAAGGTTGCAGAGCGCAATGCGGATACAGCAACGGAGTGAGCGAGTGAGCGATCGGGGCGCCAGACGATCGACAGCAATGGAAGCAGTCGGAAACGATCCTGCGGACGGACAGGTGCCCACAGTGATATATTTATACAATTTATACATCCGAGGCGCAGGCGCCGAGACACTCACTTGCGGGGAGGAGAAGGGGGGGATCGGGGTGGCAATCGCAGGCCGGCTCGTCGTTGATGAGAAATGCGCAGACCAAACGGATCTGTGACCAGAACGGGGCGTGACCCAAGGACGGGCGTTTTTGCACTTTTTCTTTGGCCCAGAGGCGATTGGGATCCGGCAAATGGCCTGCCAAATCGGGCAGGCGATGAGCCAATGGGATTTGTCAGCCCGTGATTGCCAGCTCCGACAAGGCCAGGGCCGGCTGGGGATGGGTGCGGCGTGTTGGCTTTGCCGATGGCGGGATGGTGGGTGGGATGGCGGGTGGGCTGGCGAGCATTGCCGTCGATGCGAGAGCAGGAGGGGGATTGGAGGGATTGGAGCGGGATTGGTGAGGAGGGCGATAGGCAGCGACAGGACCGAGTGCAGCAGCAGGAGCAGCAGCAACAGCAGATCCAATGGCTACGGCCCGAGAGGCTTTCAGGTGCCAAAGGCAACATGAACACAGGCCGAGGCCGGATGAGCACATGCCAGAGCGCAGCAACGGCGCAGAAACGGGCGCAGGAACATGCATGTATTCATGTATTCATGTACCAGAAGAGCAGAAAAGCAGCATGCAATCGATTCCAGAACGTGCGACCCGGCTCGCTTTGCACCATGAAATGATTCAGAAGTGGTGTATCCCCTCCCCTCCCCAAAAATAGCAACCTCGGCGATGCAATCACTGCAACGGGAGGACCCGCAGCGGGTCCCTAATATCGCTGGGGACTCGTAGCGCCATCGCTGCCGCAGAGCTCGAGGTAGTCCCGGGGCAGCCACGGTCCAAGGGCCGTCAGCATCGAGTTGGGGCCAGCCGGGTTGTTGGAGGAGCCAAAGTGCTTGAGCATCGTACGCAGATTGGGGGTATTGATGTCGCGGACACGAACCAGCCGGCGCATCTTGGCGTCGATGCAGCACCGATACGTTGCCCTCGACAGCCGCTGGATGGGGCGCACGGACCGCAGCAGCTTGATGTATCGAACAAACGGATGATCGCTGGGCTGGATTTCGTTGCTGTCTTTGGGATCCGTCAGAGCCTTGAGGTCCTCAAGACTTATTTGATGGCTGTAGCTGCTCTCTGGCTCCATTGCCATGTGGATAAAGAGCGTCTGTGGAAGTACGGGTTCGAAGCAGCATCAGGGTCAGCGCAGATCGAAGCTGGGGCACGATAGAGGTGGCGCAGCATGACAGCAACGACCATCCGCGCAGCAAAGACAGCAGAATCGGGGTGTGGGGTCGCAAGTCGTGCAGTCTCGCCTTTCAACCGCGCTGGATCTCTTGGCGGTACTCACTGTGGTCCAGATGGTGATGAATGGGACTACCGTTCCAATATTAACGGCCTCCAGGGTCGGATCGACAGAGTCGCAGGCCAGGATCAGGCTCTCGATCGACTCGCGATACATTTGACATCGGCGGTAGGTTGGCAGCGAGCCCGCGTCCGCGTACGGGCTGGTCCAGAGTTCTGCGTGACCCAAGGCAGGCGTGAGTAGCTCGGGTGAGTGGCTCGGGATCGACAAGCAGCAGCAACAGCAGATCCAAGAGGCCGGATGCGAGCTCCACGGGATGCATGCGACACGGCCATGGCCTACCTTCGATCATGCGCGGATATTCGACGCACAAAACGGTGCAGTAAAAGGCAATCAACAGACTCAAACTGTCCACAGTTCCGCCAACGTCCTTTGGGGCCGGTAAGCGCAATCGCTGTCTTGCGGCAGCAGCTAGGTCGCGCACCCAGGCGGGCAAGCCGTCGAACCAAAGCCAGAGCTTCTCGGCGCGCGACTCTCTCCATCGGTGGTACTTTTGGATGTAGCCCATCTGCGCGTTGGCGTCTGGACAGAGCTGTGGAGGGCCGTTGTTGTAGATAGAGAGGAACGGAGTGGCTTCGTAGAATATCTCTTGCAAGAACACCAGCTGGTCCATGTGTTCGTATATCGACGGCGGCTCGCTGAGACGACGCTCGCTCGCCGAAGTGACAAGATGTTCAAGCTGACCGAGGCTCGAGCCGTAGCCGTTCCAGTTGACGCTGACATATGGCCCGTAGCAGCTGCTTTTGAGCTTGAGCTCCAGAAGAGTGCAGTGGTAGAAGCTCCGGCGCAGAATCTCGAGCTCCTCTCCGCTGTGAGATGAGGCACCGGGTCGGGAAGACCCAGTGCAATCGGCTTGTGCTGAAGCTGCAGTCTTGCCAAAGTGAATGTGGTGCAGCTGCCAGACGAGCCGGGCCGCGACATCGACGTAGTAGATGGCCTTTCGCCCTGTAGAGCGGGAATTGCGGTATGGATAGTATGAGTGCGATGAGCGCGATGTGTGCGATGTGTGCAATGCGTGATACGGGTAATGCGTGATACGGGTAATGCAAGCAAGCAGAATACACTCGTGATGGAAGGGCCGAGTGGATTTCAAAACGCGGACACAAATCCAAAGCGAAGGACTGGCGCCCAACCGATGCAGATATCCAAACTACGCTGTCGCAGATGAGACTTACGCTGATCCATTACTGTGCACCCCGCGGCATTGGGCAGGTGTGGTGGCGATCCAGTCACGGATTGGACGGACCAGTTCGGTTATTCATGGTTGGATGATGGGTTAGTCACATAGAGGAAGTGGTTAGCCATGGTCTCAGACTCAGTGCGGCGCCACCGGGATTGGAGCCAAGAAGACCGAGCGCAACAAGATGCCTGGCAGATATAGAGACAAATAGCCTCCAGTGCCGGCCGACCGACCGGGACAGAGACCAGTGCGATAGATAACCAAAATGCAAGACAGGGTCGCACTCGCAGTTGATTAGCTCAAGGCGTTGCCATCGCTCTCGCTCCTCTCAAATCACTCACAGTGGGCATGATGAGCCAGAAGGAGAAAGCACTGCAGGAGCGGAAAGCTTGGGCGGTCCAGCTCCTCGAGGGCATAGCGCCGGGCCTTGTCGCTGTAGATGATCTGGAAGCGCTCCCAGAGGCCCTCATGGCGGGGGCCGAAAGGATGGATAAACGCTGTGCGACCCTGCGGGAGTGTGTGGCTGAACCAGATGCCCAGGGACACGATCATGCACTGGAGGTGGTTGGGACAGGCTTCGATGAAGCTGTCGAGCTCCTTGGGGCGGATCAACGCGCAGGGCAGACATCGCGGGGTGACTTGCTTCATACGCAAGGGTGAGGAGCGAGCACAAAGGTCAGTCCAGGGCCGGGTGGCAAGCATCATAGACCGGACAAAGCCGGGCCAGCGACGGCGCCGAGAGAGGGGAGCAGGGTGGTCGAGGACTAGTGGCATCGGTCGCCGGCCATATGTGAGCGTTGGAATGGGCCAACTGTCCACAAACCAAGATCGTGGGACGATTTATGGCACCGGCCACGAAGTGACAACTGCACCCGCCAAAGCCGCGAAAGCAACAAAACCGACGGGTACCTCGAAAAAGTATTGAAAGTAGACCCGCCGGGTCTCGTGAGGGAGATAGAACGGGCTCGAGGGCGATTTCCAGTCGTGCTGGGGGCCGCTTGGAGCCAGGTCGTATGCTTCTCGCGACGGGGGCGTTGAGCCCGAGGCGCTGCGGGCGGGTGGCGGCCTTGGCTCGGGCTGCAAACTGGATCTGCTCTGCAGCGACTCTGCGCCGGCTGGTCTGGGCTGGATAGTCACCAGCGCAGACGACCGGGTCGGCGCCCTATCCGATCGTATCGCCAGCGACCGCTGGCCGGTGTTGGCAACAGGGTTGTGTGCCGAAGCGGAGCCCTCATCGCCAGACAGCGAAATAGGAAGAGGACTGAGGTGCTGGGTCTGCAGCCTCTTGAGCTCCTTTGTCTTGACTCGAATGGCCTTTCTGAGGAGCTGGAGGTATCTGCCAAGGCGATCGATCGAGGGGGCGAGCAGCAAAGTCGTGGTGAGCATGGCTGCTTGTGGGAGCCGACCACAAGAGCGAATCGAAAAGCGGTAGAGAGGGCGTGCCGGAGGACGGGCCAGTGCGGCAGGCAGCGACGACAGATAAGAGCCGAGCTATTCGCGATGCAGGAAGCGGGTCGATGCAGAAGCGGCAAAGGCACGATGGGGCGGATCGTGTCGATCGCCGAGGCGATGGCGAGTGGTAGAGCGATGGGACGGCGAGCAGCAGAACGAGGCGGCGGTGAGCAGCAGAACGAGACCATACTTTTTCATGCTCTTTTCTCGATCGGCGTCCATTGACGGCAGAAAGATCGGGCAAGAGAAGGTCGAGGAGTAGCTGGCGGAAGTAGGATAGACTCCAGACGAAGGAGGGTCGGCTGGAGGAGCGAGCGCCAGGCAGGCTTGAACGGGGAATGGGAGCCGCAGACACTCGGCAACGGATAAAATGTCTGGCACGGCGGGGCGGCGGATGAGGCCGGCAAACGTGGGAGTGATGGCAAGAGATTGGATGGGAGCCGGGGAGAGGCGGGGGGGGACCGGCAACAGCCAGAGGGCCGGAAAGACCTGGAATGGAAGGGAAGGGCGAGTGCTTTGAGGAAAAGCAGAGCCAAGGAAGGCACACGAACCGAGAGACGGATGGATAGATGGATGGGGGAGGGCCGGCAAAACACAAGGGCCAAACCGCGAGGCCTCGGAAGGGCAGCCAACCAGCGGGCGAGAAACGGGAGTCGCACAGGCGGGGCGACAAAGGACGGCCGGGCCAAAGCGCGGCGGTGGCCACGGGCAAGCAGAACAGCCGCAGAGGCAAGGGATGCAGTGTGCCGAGCGGGGTCGCTGTTGGGATGGTGATTGGAAGGCGATTGGAAAGCGATTGGAACGGCGATTGAAACGGCGGTTGAGACGGCGGTTGAGACTGCCCTGTCGGGATGTGTTCGTGAGCGACGTCGCTGCCGAGATGTGTTTGTGATCGGCGTCGGACAGCCCGGCGTGTTTAGCCGCCCTGCGCGGGTCGCTCGACGCATCGGCTGCTGCTGCTGGTGCGGTGCACCTGGTCTCGCTTGTCTCGCTGGTCTCGCTGGCCTCGCTGGTCTCGCCGGTCATCCGGTGCGGTGTGCTGTTTGCTTGGTGCGTCTTGCTGCTGATCCCGTCGAGCCGAAACAGACCTGTGCCCAGCCGAGGGCGACCCGTTGTTCCGCGACTCGC